AGTGCTTGACCGCCAGATACGCCCCGAGCAGTTCGCGGCCGAAGGTGCTGTAGCGTGTCTCTGCTGGTTGGAGTGACTTCGAGAAGAAAGCCAGCGGCGTCCAGGTCCCGTGCGAGTGTTGCTGCAGGACAGCGCCGACGCCGGTGTCAGAGGCATCGACCTGCAGACTCAGCGCTGCGCCGGGAGTGGGGTGCGCGAGCTGCGTGGCCTGAGCCAGGGCAGCCTTCACGCGTTGGAAGGCGTCCTCAGCGGTTGGCGTCCACTCCACCGGCGCCGCGCGTTTGCGTTTCTGGTCCAGCAGGTGGTGAAGCGGTCGGAGGAGGCCGGCAGCACCAGGCAGGAACCGGTGATAGTAGGTCACTAGGCCGATGAACCTACGCAGCTGGCGTTGCGTGGTCGGCTGCGGAAACTCCTGGACTGCGGCGACCTTCTCCGGCAGCGGGGCGATGCCGTCCGGGGACACATCGTGACCGAGGAAGCTGATACGGTTGACGCCCAGCACGCACTTCTTTGGGTTGATCGTGACGCCGAACTTGTCGAGACGTTCCAGTACCTGACGGAGGTGACGGCGGTGCTGCTCGACGGACGTGCTGGCGATGAGGATGTCGTCGATGTACACGTAGCAGCACGTCAGCCCGCGCATCACCTCGTCTATAAAGCGCTGGAATGTCTGACTGGCGTTGCGAAGACCGAAGCTCATCCGCTGCATCTCGAATAGCCCGAACGGTGTGACGATGGCCGTCTTCGGGATGTCAGCGGGTTCGACCGGGATCTGATGGTACGCGCGGACGAGGTCGATCTTCGAGAAGATGGTACAGCCGTGCAGGTTCGCGGAGAAGTCCTGCAGGAACGGTATGGGATACCGGTCCGGGACGGTGGCGGCGTTCAGGGCGCGGTAGTCGCCGCACGGGCGCCACTGTCCGGGCTCCTTCTTGGGCTCCATGTGGAGGGGCGACGCCCAGCTGCTCTTGGATGGGCGGGCGACCCCGAGGCTGATCAACTTGTCGAACTCCTGACGGGCGATGCGGAGGCGGTCGGGCGGCAAACGCCGAGGGTGCCCCACACGAGGAGGTCCACGTGTCACGATGTGGTGAGTGACGTTATGGCGCACGGGCAGGAGTTGCGCAGATGTGGCCGTCACTCGAGGGAACTCTCTAAACAAGTCTGCGAGAGTGGGCGCCGCGCACATACGCACTCCGACGGAGCCGATGTCGGCTCGGGTGCCCACGGCGCACGTTGTGCCGTGTTCAGCCTGGAGGAGCTGACGGCGCATGTCCACCAGCAGACGATGATGGGCGAGAAAGTCCGCTCCCAAGATCGGCATCGATACGTCGGCGACCATGAATGTCCACGGGTAGTCCACAGTTCCGAAACGCACCGAAGTCGAAATAACGCCATGGAGCTTGATCTCTGTGCCGTTGGCTGCTTCCAGTCGAGGCGCGTCGGGCGGCTGCACAGTGGTGCCGTCGGCCACGACTCGCGGTGGGACGACACTCACCTGTGCGCCGGTGTCGACGAGGAACCGCCAGTTCCGGGCAAGGTCGGTGACATAGAAGAGGGGCGCCAGTGTTGGCCGGCCCGTCTCCGCTGGCGCTAGCGCGGACAGGCGGGCTAGTTTCCCGACCAGGAGCACGGCGGTCTGCAGCGGTGGGCCTCCGCGCCGTACTTCTGGTGGTACCAGCAGTACCCTTCATCAGGTGTCACCGATGCCGGTTGAGAGCTGCCAGACGAGGCAGGTGCGGGTCGGCGCGGACGGGAGCGGGAGCGGCCACGCCGAGGAGCGTCGGCACCGCCCCGCTGGAACACGGCTTCGATTCGTGCTACCGCAGCGGTGAGGGCGGTGACGGCAGCGGCCATGCCGGAGTTACCGCACCCGCAGGCGGCGAGCGGTCCGGCGGCGGTCACTGCGCTGGCCGGCGGGGCGAGCGTGACCCCAGGGCCGGCCGGCGGGCCACAGGCGGCAGCGACGCCGGCCGTCGGCGTGCAGACAGCAGTCACGGCGGCACCGCCAGAGGCCTCCTGGAATCGGTCGGCCGCGCTGGCCAGGTCGTCAATACCAGTGTCCTCCGGCAGCAGCGCGAGGGCGGCGCGGGTCGTCGGCGGCAGGCGCTGCAGGAACAGCGTCCTGAGAAGGCCGAGGTCGTGGCCCGCGCTGCCCAGCATGTGCTGCATGCTGCGCAACAGCTGCGTGGGTCTCCTGTCGCCCAGCTGGTGGTCGCGGAGGAGTGCCTCGAGGCGTGAGGCGCGCGACTGGGCCAGGCGCGTGCTCAGGGCCCCTTTTAGTTCTGAGAACGAGCCGGTCTCGGCTGTTATCACGTCTCGAACTTGTGAAGCGACATGGACAGGCAGGTTGGCCACCAGCAGCCGGAACTTGTCGTGGTCATCCGTGATGCCGGCGACGGCGAAGGCACACTCGACCTGCACCAGCCAGAGCTCGGCTTCTTCAGGTGCGTAGGCCGGCAGCCGGAACGACGCGAATGGCCGCGTCGGCGCGTCCTGGGCGGCACCCTCCGGCTCGATGGGTGACGGCATAGTCACTATATACAGCAAACACTAACACTAGAGGCACACTGAAAGACTGTCGGTAATCACTAGGCGCTCGCCGCGCTCACTGTGCTGGCGCTCGCTGCGCTGCACTACGTTGGCGCTCGCTGCGCTGCACTGCGTTGGGCGCTCGTTGCGCTGCACTGCGTTGGCGCTCGCTGCACTGCGTTGGCGCTCGCTGCGCTGCACTGCGTTGGGCGCTCGTTGCGCTGAGGCTAGGCCACGTCACCAGCGCACTATTCACTGTTCGCGGCAGCGGAAGCCGGGTGAAGATCACCCATTCTTGCCGAGGCGATGGGGAGGCCAGGTCAAAGATGACCTCTTCTTGCCGAGGCGGAGACGATGACTTCTTGAGCTACCTATCACGTCGGGGTCACCATTTGTGGCTGGTGCCGTGGCGAGTCGTGCTCTAAGCCGGATGAAGCCGTTCCAGTGTTTGGGATTCGCAACTTGGGATTCCACACAACGACGGGCTGGGAAGTTCCCTGATGTGGAGCCGTCTCCCCCAAACACTTAGATCGGCCAAGGATAGCGATGTATTTGAATCAGCATGAGCAAGCTATGTAGTGAACACAACGATGAAACCATAGTTCGTTTTGGCAAAGTTAAGGACAGTACAAAGCAGTGAGAAAACGTATATCAGAGCGAGAGATACTTTCTAGAAGAGTGCGTGAATGCCCACACGACGATGAACATTATGATACATACACAAGAACATACATTTCTAAAACATTAATAAATCGGACATAGAAGATGAACAAGTGGAGCAGAGCCATCTGGCGGATATCGCTGAACCTGCGCCTCGCGTCAGCTGCGACAGCAGCGCCACGTTGAGGTCGACGGTGGCGCCGCCCCGCGTCGGAGCGCTCGCCAGTCGCCAGCGGCGGTAGTGCCGCGCCGCGTCGGAGAACGTGCGGCGGTGCACTACACCTCATAAAAAGTTTCAATGTCTGTCATAGCTACACCGAGTGACCGATCGCTTTGAAACTTTCAGCGATGTTAAGAGCAATAGCATGTACAAAATGTATATCTCAGAATTTTGATATCGATGACCTAAGGTCAGGTCAATTTTGCGACCTCCCCATTATAAGTCAATGGGAGAAAATTGAAATGCGCCTCTTTTGGACGAAAGACATTATAAACACTCCCAAACACCGAATTACAATTGGTTTAGACACACTGAACATGAAAATGGTGTCCGTGACCCTTGTTTATGCCCTGAGGTCATCTTAGGTCACGAATAGTATCTAACAGTTTTTCGCAAATAACTTTTGATAGAGGCATGCTAGAGCGATGAAAACGCCTTTGATGTGTTCAGCTAGACGATACGGATCGACTGATATGCAACATGACCCTTTCCGGTCAGGTCATGACCTTGACCTGAGGTCAAATTTTCAAGTTGACCTTTCAAGGTCAAGTTACAGTTCATTTGATGCGTCTTGACGAGAGGAACACGATGCTGGTAAAAGTAAGCTCGTACAAGGCTTGAGTCAAAAGTTATTGCAGAAAAACTGTTTCCGAAAAAATCGGCTATTTTTGCAGTTTTTGCCCCCTGCAGGCAAAACCGTTGACGGTAGGTCAAATCTGAGAGAATTACTCAGAAAGGGCGTTAATAGGGCTATCGAATGCGCTTTTCCGCGGCGCTGTAGCTCTATTGGTTCCCGAGTTATGCGTTGGCTTCTTGGAAATTTTCGACATTCGACCTGGAAATCGGCGAAATTTTGCCTTCAATGACCTCTGGTGACCTGACCTTTGACCTGACCAAAAAATTGACTGAAGTGATTTCTTCATTATTTTTGACGCTCTTTCGAACGCCGCCTTCCGCGTATCGCTACGTGGCCCAGGAGCCGAGTTACAAGGGGGAGTGTTCAAACACCCCCCCCCCCCCCAGCAGGGCGTGGAAATCCAGGACCCCCAGCCGGGCGCGGGTTAAGAACACGGCCAACGCAGCAAACTCTACTTAGTGGGAGCTCTGTGCTAGACGCTAGTGAATCCTTCCTTTGAAAAGTCTGGACTGAATTTACCATATAAATCGATCGGATGACCAAAGGTTCCTAACATAACACAGGAGCGGAGAAGTGGAATATCAGAACAAACTGCAAATTAAGAACAAACCAATGTAACTCAAGTTAATTGGCCCGTCACACACTTACGAGTTACGACCAAGCTTACAAGTCTGTTATCCAATGAGTCTGTTCCTCCGTTCCTGAAAAACTGTAACAGCGTTCCAAAACGGAAGAACGGAGAAACGGACCGTACCCGCCTTTACTCATTTCTCAGTATCTACAGTCTACACACCTTAGCTTGAAACATGAGCTTTGTTTATTAGAGTGCCTGTGTGTTTGTAGAGCATAAATATCTGATCCCCATATTTGTGTAGAGTGATGCTTCTGAGCTTGGATTTCGTTGATTCAAAAACGAATAGCAGTTTTTACCGATGCCTGCCATTGTTCCAGATGGACCTCCTGGGAGAAGTAGCTTGCCTGCGGCAGAAGCTGGAGGAGGAACAGGCTGCCCGTCTGGCCGCGGAGAGATGCCTCTGGGGGGCAATGGACGAGCTACGGGAGGAGGTCCGTCAGCGGGCACCGCCCGTGGACCCTCTGCAGAGGTGAGAGGCAGCCGGAGAGATGCTGGAAGGGGGAGGGGATAGGTGACCGTACGCGTGACACTGGTGATAGACGGCCCCACTGTCAGTAGTTTGCATTCTTCTGGATGATACTGAGCTTGTCATCAGGAGTAACGCTATAAGTATTGTGTAAAGGGGAGGGAGTTCAGCGCTGGAGTGCACAGGAGTCGCAAATGAACCCGCAGTTGGCGCTCCCGAAAACCCAATTACTGCTCACTTTAACCCCTCCCCCCCATACATGAGTCTTTGTATTCAGCGCATACCGTCTGAGCTGGCGACGTCACCGTCCTTGCGTCACAATGACGTCACCCACGCCACACTGACGTCACGCACGTGACACTGACGTCGCCTGGTCTCCTTCCTCAGCGCGGGCGGAGACGTAGCGATGACGCCGCTGGTTGCCGACGCTCGCGTCAAGTACGAGTTCGGCGCCGTTGCCAGCTGTGACGTCATGACCCAGACAGAGGAGGAGCCTGCCCAGCGCGGAGCCAACATTAATGACCTGGACCACGGACTGCTGAAGAGGGTCCTGGGTAACCTAGACTGCAGGCAGATGTTCCGCGCCAAACGGGGTGAGTATTTCGGTGTGGCGACTGTCAAGCTCGCATTTCAGCGACAGGGTTTCGGAAGGCCTTACGCTTTTCCGTCAGCAATCGTATGGGCAGAGTCTATCCAATCGACTCGAACAGTCTGGTCTGCGATAGATGTGTGGTAGTCACGAGCTATAAAACATGTACCGAACACTACTCCAGACAGACTGATGCTGTATGCAGACGAACTCCCACTTTGAGCGTTGGATCTGACGTGTCGCCTTTTCGTGTTCCGTCGGTGCCGACAGTCTGCCGCCGCTGGCGGTCCACCGTCGACACCATCGTCGGAGACTGTCGGCAGGAGTGCGCCGATCGACAGACCGCCGCCGGCGGCGCCCCCGCGCCCGCCACGGTCCTTCAGCTGGTGACGATGGCGCGGGAAGAGCCGAGGATGACCAAACTACAGGCGCCGACCGCTGAGAGACAAACTGATCTGGGCCTGGTCGGTGAGTCCTGCGTCGTACACAGTTGGAAAGAGGTTGGTGTGCTGTATCAATGAGTAAATGGAGCTTTACCCTCTGTCTGGTAAAGCTCCCATGTGGTTAATATTTCTCGGATGTGTTTTGTTCAAGTCATCACCTACTAAGTACTATATACTCAACCAGTAGGAGCCCTTGAAATTCCACGCCATTTTTTACCATTAATACCCTGGCTCAATTCCAGCAACATCCTGCAATACTCTGGAGACAGCCGACCTTCGCGGGTTCAAGCTGCGTGCCTCGGCGCTGCGCCGGCTGGCGTGCGCCAACGCCTCCACTCTGCGCGATGTGACGCTGCCGGCCGGTGTCAGCGAGTGGCACCTGGAGACGCTGCTGACGCCTCTGCTGGCGCTGGAGCGGCTCTCACTGACCGTGCCCCCGGACAGCACCGGCTGGTGGCTGCGGGCGCTCCCCAAGACGCTCAACAGACTCTTCATCGCCGGTGAGATAACGCGTAGCGTGCTGGCATATGTGTGATTGGGACAGAGCGCAGCATCGCTTCGTGCTCTTGGGCAGCCGGCAGATGTCATTTACACGTAGATCAATGCGTACTAGTCCCTGTCGTGTCGGCTGTGTCAGTGCCAAGTGTCTGGCGTTCCGGTGTCGGCTGTTACACTATCGGTGTCGGACAATGTTCTGCCACTGTCAGTGTCCGACCCGTGGATGGCTGCGTCACCGACTGTTCCTTTCCGCAGGACACGGGCCGACCCAACCGACGGTGGAGTGTTTCGGACCACCGTCTGTGGATGGACTGTGCGTCGCCGTATATCGAGCCGGAGACCAACTACTGGACCAGCTAACGGCGCTCCTGACTGCGCCCACAAACGGGTACCACAGAAACAGAATCACCCACCTGTACATACAGGGTAAGCAGCGGGTGGTGTGCGGGTAGGTTATGTCTCGCTTTGGCCTCCGAGTAGTTATTTAAACGGGTCACCGTTGTGCATGTTTATGTGTATGATATCACTTGGAGTTTTGCTGTGTTTCAACCACTGTTTGTGTGCATGTAAAGCTGTTTGTCAGGTCTTGATTTGAATTATATGAAGCTGGTCAGAGCCGCTGTTACTGGGTCGTTTGTCAATTTGTTGTGTCTCGGTCTTAAAAGTTGTGTCCAAAGTGCCTGTTACTTGTAATATTTGTGCGATCTATCGGTCTGCAATATATTCGGGCAGGACGTCGCCATTGCTGAGTATTTTTCTCTGCGTGTTTTATCTATGTCTATGTATTTCTAGCCAAAGTCACTATCATAAAACGCACTGTGTGTTTTTTCACGTGTTTCACAGGCCACGCCGCCAGACCTATGTTAGCACTGAGACGCTTACTGACGGCGCTCACCAACTTGAAGGGCCTCACTCTCTGGGTAGTGGGCGTCCATACCATGACGATGCTGGACGCTCTCCACGTCTGCTCCCAGCTGGAGACGCTGAAGCTCAAGGAGGCCCTGCGGCGCCCGGTGGCCGTGGTGCCCGAGTTCACTCGCACGGAGTTGGCTTCAATCTCTAGGTCAGTCTATATGACGGACGGTGTGGGTCGCATATAAATTTGCAGCTGGGCGCGGAACCACGGTCTCGACTTCCCCTCCTCGCTCGCCCAGGTGTCTGTGTCTGCCGATTCCTTCTTGCGTAGCTGAAAGACACCGAGCGGAGGGGAAGGAGACTGGGGAAGGAATGTGGTGATGGTGGGGTGGTGGGCGGGTCTGTTAGGATCCTAGGTTTTTTCTCTCACTGATGCCGGTGTGCAGGAACTCTTTCGGCGTCGGAAAACTATGGTGATGTTTTCCAGCGTTGCCTTTCTTTCACGGATTTTGTTTTTTGTTGGATTTGCTACTCACATATTTATTATACCTAATAATTCCATTGTCATTGTAACATGCTTGGTGAGGGCAAAACATTGGCATTATTTCCTTTCCCATTAATATTAAAGTATTGCCTGATTATCTCGTCTAGTGCTGCCATCTGTCGAATGTTGTTCTCCCTAGCTGTTCATCAACCTAGGGGTCGCCGCAGTCTGCCCTTTCACTAATGTCCCGTGATTTTCGCCGGCGCTAATACGTTCCCATTAGTGTCATGCGGGCAGCTGATGTAGATAGCGCAGGTGACCAGGGCGCGGGTTAACATAACCGCATCCGGCGATGTTTCTGATTCGGTACAACTGGCCTCAGGTTGGATAGTGACACTGTTTGACTGTGCCTCAGAGACTGACAATTTTGTCCCGTTTCTTCTGATGTGTCGCAGACTGGCAGTGGCCCTCCGGAAGCTAAAGCTCCTCTATCTGTTCACCTCCGAAAATAACACCCAGCTCGTGACGAACACCCTGACCAAGACGGATCTGGGCTGCGAGGATGGCACCAGTCAACCCCGCGCCGTGAAGGTCTACCGGATGTCCGATCCAGCTGCTGCCACATCCAGGTTACGTTACGACCACAGCAGGCATTCGAGATTGTTCGTAAAGGACGTCACTAGCGAACCGTATACTCGTTTTGCTAGCAGTCGCGGTATGTGACGTCACATTATCAGTCTCAATCTACCTTTTGTGACGTCACCTTTAAACTCTGCATAAATATTGTATAGCGCGGTAACATATTCTGCTTTCAGGGGCATTGTGTGAGGACACGGCTTCTTCAGTCCAACGCCGGGGAGTCTCCATCTTATCGCCAGACTGTCGGCTGCTGCTCTACTCCGTGCCGGCCGCCGCGCCCGAACCCACCGAGAAAAGGACGGTACCGTGTTCTCGTCGAGGCGCCAGGACCGGTGAGCGCTCGACGGTATATGGCGGAAGGCCCTCCGGCCGATAGCGTAAGACTCACTATCCAAGAAACGCCACGGCTCGTGCTGATGCTCAGGAGCGTCATGAAACATATGACTCGCTTCATTGGCTGTAAAATTGTCGTTGTGTTTCCATTGTGTTTCCAAGTTTCGGTAGCGTTACCGCATGCTGCCATTGTGTGCTCACAAGTTTCGGCGACGTCGAACCCGTTTTGTCAGGGCTCATGATATGCTGCTGTGCGTAAAGGGCATTCTTGCTGCGTATAGGTGGTGAGGTTTAGTGTGGAGTAAAGCATATCAAACGTTCCACGGGCGCCAGGGAACTCAGCGGCTGTGACGTTTGGTAGACGGATAAGTCCCGGCCTTAACTATAGAGTGTATAAGCTAGACCACAAGTGCCATTGGTGCAACTCTTAGATCTGTGACACTTGGGTCGCCAAAATGTAGTTATTTTCCCCGCCTTATCATATTCTCGGCTATCCTTTTTTGCGTAGCGGTAACCCAACAATAGATTTGATTACTGAACATCAACTGTTACCGCAGTCTAATACCCATTCTTGAAACGTTAATCCAGGATTGAGTACAAATGAGATGCAAGCAGAGGCTGTGGCACGCATTCTCACTAGTCTGACAACTCAGAATCTCGCCGTCAACTGTAAGCAGACCAAACCTGCCAAAGATGTGTATGCCGTGGCGCTATAATGTTGGATGGGCATTGATCATGAGGCTCGGCGTTCAGCATTTTTCAAAGACATGTAGATAAAGGATTGTTTAATGTACCGAGCTTCTGCAGCTCCGGCTATTGTGATATGATAGTTGCTTTTCAGCAAGTTTCCAGAAGTCATTCATTCATTGTTACATTGTACAGTGTGTTTCATAGTGTTTCTCGTGAGGTTGATGTGTTTCACTTCATGAATTTTACTCAGGATTCAGTTTCATTACGATAGGCTCAGTCGTAGTAGTATGTTTCTAAGACAATACATGGTGCAAAATTTAAGTCAATTATGATTGTTATTATTATTATTTTAATCTCTACACCTTTTTGCTTTCAGTTTGAAAAAGCTGAAGCTCAATTTGGGTGCAGTTATTTTTTTACATCTTAGTTTTTGTTTACGCGTTTTTAGACGTTTCTCGGCGCACTGTTGTTGAAGTTATACAGGCCTATTTTACAGCTATTTTTGATTCACAAAACTGCTGCAATTTTTATAAATTTTTTTCTGCATATTGGCATTTTGATGGAATTGGAATGCATTAAAAGATTTTCATTCTTAAATCTCGAATTCCAATATAATAACAATGTGAATCGAGCCACGCTCGTAGTGAAATATTACGAATCAATGATAACAACAGTACTACCGGCAGAAAATATGTAGTTACCGCGATTGTATAAGATAATACTATATGTTCCGCGTGAAATTGACAGGAGATACCACAAGAATAATAGCCTAAACAAATATTGAAATAACTGAAAGCTCATAATACCCGATTAGCACTGCTAACGCTGACCATTTTCTTCGATCATTAAATGCTTACCATAGTTCATACCATAACATCTGAAGATAATGAACTTGAACCTCGAAAAGCGAGTTGTCCCGTTTCAGTCTCAGTTTGTGCGGTACTGGGACACATTCATTATCAGTGAGTCAAATGAAAATTGTCCGGGGCATCATGCTGTGATCAAATGAACCAGTTAATATGTATAAAATCTAGTTATTGGCCAAACGTAACGGCCACGGACCGTAGGTTGACGACCCCGAAATTTAGCGAAATGAAGTATAGGTTCAAGCAGTTTAAATAATGTTGGTGCGTGGAGTTGAATAGTGATGTAAATGTGGCCACAGTCTACAACCACGATAACAAATATCGATTGCGCTTCGCTCAACCAGAGCCATGCTCGTTCTTGCTCATGAAGCAGTGCATCCCTATAAAATGAAAAGTCTGAACGAATGCATTCAGGTTCCTACCTCTGAATCACCTTATATTGAGATCCGTTTCTTAACAGGAACACAAACGCGGCCCATCAATTCGTCAGTACTAAGGCAACAACGTCTGACAAGTGACAACGCATCAAATGGCCAACTTCTGACACTATCTCAATCTACCAATACGGTAACGGCAACAAAATTGCATTGCAAAATGCAAATAAAATTGCACGACTTCCAAGCGCAGTTTGAAACCAAGTGCGACCAGCTAGTGTCATTTTCACAACCAAGTGCGACCAGTTAGTGGTCGACCTTAGTGTATAGAGTATGTAATGTATGTAATGTATGTAATGCAGTTGTAATGTATACACATTACAACTGCATAGGTACCGCAGAAACACATTAGGGGCGAAAGGAAACACATGGCTTGTGTACGACCAGCGTTCTGTCAGCGTACGACGCATAAAGCAAACTGCTCAAACAACTGCGGTCCCGAACAACACAACACAGAGCTCCGAAACGAATGGTTTACAAAAGTCTACGACTGACGACATCGAAACAGTACGTTCATCGGGACTAGTCACATGACTCGCTCAACCCAGCTGGGTTATGGGTACTAATTGCGCTTCAAATTGACCTCTGATAGCCATTTACTTACGCTAGTTTGATGCATAAAACTGTACATTGAAACTCAAGCGGCAGCACATAGGTCTCCATCAAGGTGGTTATATACAACAGAGCACCACGCTAAAACGAGCGCGAGCCGCACTGTCACACTGACAGAACACTGAGCCGCGAGTCGTGACAGTCGCACTGCGTCATATGCACGCAGATGTCGCACTCACGGCACCGTTGCTGGCACTGCGCTGCGGGTGGACACGCGCGGTGCAGTAGCTCCACGGTGTGCGGCTCACCGGAGGGATTACCAGTCTCCGACCGGACAGTCCAGGCGGGAAATGCGATGTCTTCAATCATGACCGCCGTCCCCGTCTCCGCGGAGTGCCGCACGGCGGCGACGCGGCGGCGTCGGATCTTGAGCTGGTGGACACTGGACTCCTGCCAGAGCTACCAGCTTCAGCCCTTCAGCATCCTGTCATCAGCAAACTCCAGCAGAGCTCCAATGCAACTGGGAAAATAAAATTTATGCTGTTAAGCTAAATCATGCAAAACATTTCCTTGCACAGGATTCTCTTGCGCAGTTCAGCAAAATCTTCTGTGATATCCATGGCCGTGACAAGAGGACTTTATGCCATTGTAAAAAACATAGGTTCATTGGTTCTCATTTACCCACATCGAGCTTCTATAGGTACCATTCATTTGTATATCATGATGTATGTTAACTACACAATATTTATGCAATAGACTGACATGAAATATGTAGGAATGGCAAGAGAGATGGGTAAATAAGCCAAATAGGTTGCAGGACTTAGTGGCACCAAGCAGGTCAGAAAGTAGAAGTTCAAACAATCTTACAAACTACACCAGAGAAAGTCTTTGAATTAGGTACAAAATTATGCCACAAAAATAAAAGCAATGCAGTTATGTAGAGCATTTCCCAAAAGATAATTGTGATTCAGCCTTGCTCCCATTCTGAGATTGAATAAATACAAATTATGGGATGAAAGTTACTAAAAAGCAGTGTTTTTTTTTTTTAGAAAACAGCTTCAATCCATGTTTGCCTGATATCAAACTCAAGGCAACATATCATAGCTTTGACAGCATGAAATGTCATTATTGGGGTTACAATTTCCATAATCTTGTCACAAACAGTGCACTTTAATATGTATAACTAACACCAAATCAGCCAACCTTGTATCTTTATCTGGTGAAACTCAAGAAACCAATAAAGCAAACAATTTCTGAGCAAAACATTTCAGTATTTGACAAGCTCAAGCACCATGCAGCCACTGGAGTATGATGGGGTCTCGTAACTTGAACGTTCAGTCTGTAAGAGCATGCCTGACTTGACTTAACAGATTTGAGGCATCACAAAGACCTTTGCAGCAGCTCCTTCTATTCTTTTTTAACATAAACTTTAACTATCATTACCATGCTATGATGATGAGATGGCTGGTTTCGGGAGCATGAAAAGTAGCAGCCCTTCCTTCATTCTAATTCCTTGTTTTCACATGCTGCACAAAATGTTTTTTCTTCCACGTTCCTTCTGTCATTATAAAAAATAATAGGTATCATAATTGCTTCAGTTCTTCCTTATATTTCAAGTATTGCTGCTGTAATTCATCACATCTCCCGTTAGTAAACCATTGCCCTATGGCCGCAGGGGGCTGTCATCCCGAGCTTTCCTATTTGCCGGGCACCCGGATCTTTAACATTACCCGTGACGTCAGCGGAACGGACACTTCTCAGCTGGCCTTCCCCGCAAATTTGGCCTTGAATTCGATTTTGAGGGTCACGGACTCACGGTTGTAAACAAGTTCATTTCCTGTTTCTTGCTTGTGTTGTACGTGGTGTTGTACCTTGGTTGTACCCTCGAGTTGATTGTTTGAAACCATTGAAACTTAAATTGATTGAATGATTCAGGACTTGATTCAGGATCAGGATGTCGTACTGTGCGGTGGCTACATGCCGAAGTTACCGAAGGACTGGCAAGTTCTGCACAAAATCGTTTTTCGGTTCCCGAAGGATCCAGCCACATGTGCGACCTGGGTGCATAGATGTTCGAGGCAGGATCCTATAAATGTGTTGCAGGCAAGGATTTGCTCAGACCACTTTCTTGATTCAGATTATGATCCTTCCTACCTTGTGAAAGCATCCCTGATGCCAGGTGTGAGCCCATGTCTGAAGACTGATGCGGTTCCAACACAGAATCTGCGCAGTGCTGGGTCCTCGGGGTATGTATTTCATTTTAATGGATTTGATATGAATGCCAACTATTCAGTTGGTAATGTACTAATTCGAATCTTTCTTATTGTGATGGAAATTGTAACAAATTTATATTTGCTTTTGGATTTGCACTGTGACTGTGTGCGCTTGTCAGATATGTACCATGACACATTAATTTGTAAATTAGGTTGCTAGTAAGCAGGTAGGTACCAAGTTAGGTACCGCTACCGACATATTTGCATGATACTTGAAACATTTTGCATATCAATATAATTGTGCATCAGTCACCAATGATCAAAGCAGCTCACTGAAGTTGTGCCCTATTTGAATGTTGATGTAAATGGTGTTTTCACAGACCGGCGCAACAAAGCACTCGGGCTTCAAGGAGTGATCGCCGACAGATGAAGTCCCTTGCGCAGGACATCATCAACCCTCACCTATCCGTGCTTCTATCCTCAGGATACTGAAATCCTTCTCCTCCACGCCGCAACCCCCCTCCGGGCTGGACAGGCAACTTTATCTCATGCGGGCTGCTCCCTTGGAGCGGCACCGCTGCTCCCGAGGGAGCGCACCCCGTAGCCGGGTGCAGTGAGTGCCTTGGGGCTGGGTGGCCTGTCCTCTGGACGGGCTCAGCCCCGGCGACTCACTAGGGTGCCTGCCCAGACCAATGTCTCCCCCTAATTCCTATCATCCTTCCGGCTCTGCAATGGTCTTGTCGACCGAAAGGGCCTAACCCAACAAAACAAAAAAAAACATCATCAACACTGAGGGAGCGTCCTCATCTCTGAGTGATAGATCAAGGTGAGGAGATAATTGAATTTGATATTTTCTTTGTTAGGTGCTTGAACTGTCAATACAAGGGCCCTGTTTCACCAGTGATAGCAGCATGCTGCTATTACACGTGTCAAATTGGGTTTCCATGGAAACATCAACAAAGCATGACTCAGTCGATCTGTGTGATGTCATCAAATATTGCTGCTAGCATCTTCACGGCCATGCGATCAAACAAGGCCCTGTTTCACCGGTGATAGCAGCACGCTGCTTTTACACGTGTCAAATTGGGTTTCCATGGAAACATCAACAGGCCCATTGCTCCAACACTACCACAAGTATGACGTCAGCTCGCGCAATTTGATAGCAGCGTGGTAGCAGCGTCCCGTGAAACACCGCCCAAATGTATCAAACGCAATTCAACGAGACAGCAACTCTGGTCCAAACGAAGCTCACAGATTGCACGAAACGTCATTAGTGTGACCTCATCACATTACGTCAGCTCATGCAATTTGATAGTAGGTAGCGTGCTGCTATCACCGGTGAAACAGGGCCAAGGGTTCCAGCAATCAGTAGTTTTGATAGAGACTGAATACACTCAGATGCTAGCTTTGAGAATGATGTTGCAATCAGACTCAGACTAAGCTTACCTCTGAATCACTTGAGTGGAAACTGTGGGCAAGGCTCTAAACCTGGGCCCTGTTTCACCGGTGATAGCAGCACGCGGCTATCAAATTGCGCGAGCTGACGTAATGTTCACGTTAGCTGACGCTAGCTGACATTAGCTCACAGTTGTGCAACTCTGAACTTATATTTATTCTATTGCTTTACATTACTCTGAAGAAGACTATAGGCCACCACTTAGGTAAGAAGGATCATTGATTTCACTTGACTTTGTTTCAGGTAAATCGGCAGGAAGCAGCTGAATCAGGTGGAGAACGCACTGCGTCTGCCGGCGGCGTCCAGTGCCGACATCTTTACCCCGGCATCACTCGCCAGTGTGGAGAGCGCCGTCACTTTCTGTCTTCTGAGGCTGTCAGACAGTTCAGCCGGGCAGCGAGCAGCTCCCGGCGCACCATCACTGGGAGCCAGGCCGGCCTACGCGAGGAGCGGATCACTTGTGCTTACGACTTCGTCCTGGCGCTGGTTTAGTGAGCGGATCCGAAGGTGGACCCGCGTCGTCACCAGCTTCCTCGCGATCCTGGCGTCCAGAGATGGACGCTTTACCTGGAGTGCCGCCAGCAGCCTCTGCACGATACCGGACTGACCGTCGACGGTAGCACCCATCATCAACCGGAAGATGACCTCGAACTCTTCCACGATGGTCATCCAGTTCGGCGATGGCACGGTGAGCCTACCCCGGCTGAGGGCGCGGACCCAGGGCGTGATCACGCGAGCTGCCGGCTTGGCCTCTCTGGACGCGCGCAGTGCTGACCCCTGTTGAACAGTAATTTTGGTTCATTCATTTTGTGCGGATTCGTGGTTGCGTGGTTGACAGTCGCTTTTGCTCATTCATCTTGTGCCGACTCGTGGTTGCGTTAACCATTCGTGATTGCGTTGTGCCGACTCGTGGTTGCGTTAACCATTCGTGGTTGCGTTAACCATTCGTGATTGCGTTGTGCCGACTCGTGGTTGCGTTAACCATTCGTGGTTGCGTTAACCATTCGTGATTGCGTTGTGCCGACCCGTGGTTGCGTTAACCATTCGTGGTTGCGTTAACCATTCGTGGTTGCGTTAACCATTCGTGATTGCGTTGTGCCGACTCGTGGTTGCGTTAACCATTCGTGATTGCGTTGTGCCGACTCGTGGTTGCGTTAACCATTCGTGATTGCGTTGTGCCGACTCGTGGTTGCGTTACCCATCGTCTGTGTGCCCGTGTGTGCGGGGACACGGACCACATGTGCTCCCTCACTGGATGGATATTGGATAGACATGCGCGAGCAGTGTTGGGGTCGTTTTGTTTCCTGTCATGGAATACATCTGTTGGTGGTTCTTAATTGGTTCGGTACCTAGGCTTTCGGACGGAGTGAATCAATGCTTTCGTTATTGTGCCCATGTGGCCGAACAAAAACACGATATCATCACCATTCACCATCCAGATACACCCCAGTTGCCCGCATGGCTTTGGCCCCCGGGACCCTAACACCGATAGCCCCGCGATTACGCACAGGAACATAAACCAAAACATAGTCCTTGCAATGCATTCCTCCAGGCTCCATCGCAGTCCTTTGTCTAGCAATTTTCGGAGTACGTATCTGCGGTATCGCGTCCGTAGCAGCCTTGGGAGCTGCTGGTGACTACAGGGGCCTCACGGGTCCCGAGTCATGTGGGCCATAGCACCACAGGGCACCGCATCTTTTTCGAGATAAATGACCGTTATGAAGCATGTCGCATTTTCCTGAGCATGACCTGGCGTTAACATAACTTAAGCGCCTGCCGGCCCTCGCCTGCCTGCGGCTGACAGCTGACGAGTGACGAGCCACCTGGAGATCGCCAACTCAACCCTAATTACGGCGTTGTCCGCTAGGTGGCGGGGTCGTACGATCCAAGTCGGGACAGGGGATTCTCATAATTATTTGTTATCATATTTTCCCCCTTTTTAAAGTCATTTAAAAGCGCTATTGCACAAGTAATTTTTCGATTAGCAGCGATTCCAGCCGCCGCATCAGGGTCAGGATGGAGCCAGGGAGCGTATGCGCCGGTGACGTCACGTAGTGTTGCAGATTTGTAACATTAGCGAGCCCGGACGATCTTACCTAACTTATACGGCCTTGTATGGCCGCTAAAGTAAATAAGTGGAATGCGCCAGAAATTGTCAAAATCGCGCCAAAATAGCAAACTAAGATGAGAAAAAATAACCGCACCCCTCAATTTGAAAAAGGTACACTTCAATTTGAAACACGTGCCATTCGATTTGCATTGCATTTTTTTTTTCAAATTGAAATACATTTTTCAAATTGAACTTTAACTTTTTCAAACTGAGGCCTGTTTCACTAAAAACTTGCGATTACAAGTGTTTGAACTTTACAATTCATAAGTATTTTTGCAAACTATGTAAAATCGGATTTCACTAAACTTCATCATCAGCGGCACCTCCGATAAAAAGAGTTTGCAAAAAAACTTGTAAACAGTAAAAATGTTTTAATCAAGAACTACAACATGTTACAGATATTGCTTCTTCTTATCAAATTATGTCTAGTATTCATGTCAAAAGATGCATGAATAAATTATAAATAATGATGCTGTTTCTAAATGGTATAAATGATAGTTCACAATATTTATTATTGAAAGAAAATAACACCAAAACATTTGACAGCAGAAGACTGTTGAATGCAATTATGGCGCGCGAATGACAAAACATGACGATATTTATTTATTGCTCGTAGCTGGTTCATAGGGATTGTGGTAAGTAAAAAGAGCATATAATGATTCAGCATATCATATTTGTTTTAAATAATTGATTGCTTTGCTTCATTGCACAAAAATTAATAAAATTCCGAACGTAAGAGCCACTGGAATTTCGTGTTTGTAATTACAACGTTTTCTTTCAAGTTTTTGGTCTTCGTGAAACAGAAAGTATGCGATTTCGATGTTTCTTTCAAACTTTTTTCTTGTAAAAAAGTTGGTAAATTTTAAACTCAAAATTAATGCTCGGAGGTTTCGTGAAATCCAAATTTCAAATGTTGGTAAATTTCTTTTAAACTCAAGTTTTTCTTTGTAATTACACACTTTATTTGTTAGTGAAACAGGCCTCTGAAGGCAAAATGGTGTAGATGTCCTCCATAAAGCGTGTGTATACTGTCGCGGAGGCGCGGATAGAGAGACGACTGAGCGGGCCAAAATGGTATGAACAGTAAGTAAGTTTCGTGACAATTACACCTACTACCGGGCGATCCCTCCGCACTCTTGGCGGGGACCGTCCCTGGGCATCTCCATGGCCCTCGGCATCTCTGGCCGAATATCAATACAATATAATTTCAGTGAATTGACCACGATTAACGTATTTGAATGTTCATACCGACTTCAGAATATGCTCTTTTTATGCTTATTAGTGTCAAAGTGACACTGCAAAATGCAGGCAAAAATTAAGCGCATTTGCAATTTCTCCGTAAATTTTGGGGTGAGCAACCACAATGAAGCACAACAAACGACAGAACACTGACGAAAACGGATAATGAAACAGTACGGTTTTTGAAACACATCGAAGTTAAAACAAATTTCACAGCACAATTTCACTGTCACTTTTTGACGAAAATACAGCAAAAGTTCATAATGGGTGAATTTTCTTGATTTCGGTGCCAAGTTGTCTTGAATTTAGCGTTGATATTTTTTTTTTCTTCTCTTCTCTCCTCCGATCTTGAGTCCTTCAGCGAGGTGGTGTCCATCACTCGATGATGCTGAGGAGGACGGCGCGGGCTGATGAGCCGTGCGCTGTCGGCGGGCTCCGTAGTAGTCCAGGGTAGCTGATGACCTTGCCGCAGGGCAGATAGTCTTGCTGGGCAGAGCTACTCACTGGAGACGGTGCTGGGACGATGACGAGTCCAGGATGGTCAGCTCCCTAGTCGATGACGTGACGTAGGGGCGATACACCGTCACGGAGCACGGACTAACCAGTCTGCGATGTCAGTGCAGATGTAGAGGCTGGGGTCCGTGTTGAGGGGCACAAGTCCCCTTGAACGTGTACTCTCTTTATCGATATGGAAGAAGGGAATCGGTCCCACAATACGTAACCCGGTATTGAAATGCACCTTCACACATTACGCGTTGTACACATATCCGAAATATTAGGTATACTGTAACTACGTACCTACATATGAATCTTGAACGATCACTCCGTCTCAGAGTCAGGATCAGGAGTTTTGAAAAACGTAAGTACCCTCACATTTTTAACCAGACAGTGCAGTTCAGACCGCATGTCTATCGTTACTGGCTTCCCGCTTCGGGAAATGACGGGTATGACATTGGGGCGCCCAGGTGTTGGCAGTGCCAGGCTCCAACGCGAGCTTATAATTGCGGAGCCAGCACGCTGGTCCTCAGCTGGTTTGGAATCAGCACCGTACCCTTAAAAAAATGTTTGGTTCAAGGAGCTAAGTTGGAGCAAGCACGCAAGAAAGTGCATCCTCTCAATTTATACAAACCTTTGCATTGTTAGAGCTGAGAAGCTTGTTAACCCGCGCCCAGTGGCGGTCTCAGCCAACTTCGCCCTAGTGAGTGGGGGGGGGGGGAGGAGGGGGGCATATGTTACCACCACCTCTAACTCAAAAACTAAGAGGGCTAGAAAGACACGGTAAAAAGCAGTCGATAGCTCTTGATGCGTACGTTTGAAAGTATTTCGGTCATTTTTCATCTCATAGCAATACTAGGGTCCAGAGGTCATCAAAGGTCAAAATTTGCGAATTGTCATTATATTTTTCAGAAAACATGCCATTATCTCAGGAACTATGATAGCTAGAAAAACGCTGGAAATAGCAATCGATAGCTTTTGAACTCTTCTTTTGATAAGGTCCATCAAAAATGACCTCAGGTCAACGGTTTAGCCTCCAGAGGGCAAAAACTCCAAAAATAGCTGTTTTTAAGAAAAGTGTTTTTCGACAATAACTTTTGACTAAAAAAAACTAGGTCATTTCTAATGCCAGAATCGTGTTCCTCTCGCCGAGACGCGTCGAATGAACTATAATTTGACCTTGAAAGGTCAACTTCAAAATTTGACCTCAGGTCAAGGTCATGACCTGACTGGAAAAGGTCATGCTGCATATCAGTCGATGCGTCTTGGCAAGACAAAACAATGAGGCCAACTCCAGCGTTTTATCTTCTTCCAATCGAGAGTATTGGCAAAAAAACTGTTTGTAGCCTCAAATGACCTCGGATGACCTTTCAAGAGGCTATCAGCAAAAAAAGACACCTTGGTCGTCACGGGTGGTCCACATCATTGTTATCCTGAAAATTTGGACTGTTCCTATGCGTACACACGGATCTAGAGGCATTTTCGTTTTCTCCATTGACTTAGGGGAGAGCGGGGCCAGTTGAACCACTTTTTTATATTGACATGCACAGCGAGATCTAGTTGTCATATCGAAAAATGCACAATGCCATGAAAAAATATGCTGTTTGGCTTTATTTTAAGATATGTAAAATTATGTTTCAAACATATTTTGCGGCCAAACGCATGCTTATAAAACAGCTCTACGCCCGTTTCAAATGACCCCGATGCGAGGGTCAATTGAACCAGCCCATGGGGTCAATTGCACCTATCCTTAACAATGGGATGTTTTCCTCTTTAAGGCCACTTTCTTAAGGAGATATTTTGTCCGGTTTACTTTTCCAAATGCTACATTCAATAGGTCGTTGGAAAGCTAAAAGTGCAAAGTTCCTCATAATAGGTGACATAAAGTACATAGACTATGGTAAAATGGGCGGATGAGAAAAATGAGAAATATCTCAGGCTATAGTGTGCTTTCAAGCAAAAGGCTGGAGAAAAAGGGGTCAAAAATTGAGCTCTATTAAACTACTATTTCAGTTTCAAAGCTCATTTCAAAGGTGGACTATTCCTTTAATGTTTACAGCCCTGAACATAACCATTGCAAAGGTCACCGGGGTCCATTGAAACGGCCTGTGGCCCTGTTTCAATGACCCTCAGAGAAGCGTTTCAATTGACCCCACCCGCTCCCGCCATCTCGCACGCGACGTAAAGCACATGTCAAATGAGCTGGAGGGACGGCATCATGCTGAATGAAGGGCCAAATAAGGTGTTATTCCGAAGCCAGGAGTTCTTCTTTCAGCAAACAAAGGTATATGAGATATCACAAAATATTCATAAAAACGATTTCTCCCAAACGCCCCTCAAAAACACAAAAACAAGTGTCAAATCAAAATTACCGTCCGTTTGCCGCCCAAACGCCGTTGACAAAGGAAGTGGTCGAGCGCGGATGCGCAGTGGTATCGGCAACGCCATATGTTGCATACTGTTGAAAATAAAGCCATGTTTCATCTGACCCCGTGTTTCAACTGGCCCCGCTCTCCCCTATAATGGTAAGGTCACGCCACTGACCTGACCTTAGGTCACGCATATAAAAAATCCGAGATATACAAATTGTGGGCACCCATAACATCATGTAATCCACCAAGTTTAAAACCTCTCTGACAAACACTGCAGGCTGGACATGATTGCAAACTTTTTTAGGCTTGGTCAGTTAACTTGACCTGGCGACCTGACCTGCCATGACCTGGGGTCAAAAATTTCACACATTGTCCAAAATTGATGTACCAAAAGCTACGCCAAGCGGCGCGGCGCGACGCGCCGCGGTTTTTTATTTATACGAAAAAAACGCGACAAGGTTGTAACATATGCCCCCCCCCCCCCACTGGGGCGAAGGTTAATGCATAAGTTTTAATTATTTAATATGCGATATTTTACCATCAAAACTTGTATGTTGAAGTACAAAGTCGTATTCTGCAGTTTCTTGCACATAAACCTGAAAAGTAATGAATGACCAACGTGAGCGTCTCTTCTTTCAATAACGAACTTCAGCTGTCACCTCCTACACAGTTTCCTATAATCCACCATATAATTTGTCTTACCTCGGCCTGTAAACAGCGCTGAAACTTTTTATCGTAATTACTGCTCCCCACGACCTCCTGCCACAATGTTTCGGCCGTTGCTGGGCAGTCGAGTTTCCCTCGATATTCCTCACTGCGGTCGGCTCAGTTGCGGCTCAGGGCTCGCGCGATGAGGGTGCTCACTCTGCTACTCCTCGGCGTTTGCAGTCGGCCAATCCTTAGCGGCTCCTACGTGAGCTGGCCGAACGCCTACTCGCGGACAGCGGAATTCTCATCAGTCGCTCCGTCCGCGATCATCTGCGCGATCTCCTGCGAGCGACGGAACCGCGCCGACTGTGAGGGCTTCACTCTGGCCGAAAACGGCACCTGTCTCACCTTCTCCACAGAATCTCACGTGGGAGTGTGCTTCCCCCGGGCACCACACCGGTGCAGTATAGACGGATGGGACCGCCCAGTGAACCGTGCCCCCCTGGGTGGCACTTCTTCCGCGAGAGCTGCTACCTGGAGGTGCTGGATGAGCTCGTCTGGGAGGATGCCCGCGCCGCCTGCCTGGCGCGTGGTGCCAACTCTGACCTGGTTTCCGTCAATGATATGGTTGAGGTCGCGTGGCTGCTGCATCGCGAGTCTCGTTCGCGCCACAGCGAGTCAGTAGGCGCGCTTCGCTTGAATGGGGAAATACTAAACGTCGACGGCACGACTCCGCCAGAAGAAATGGTTCTGAAAGAGGACACCAAGGACGCCTGTTTCGCTGTGAGATACTCCTTCCAGAACGAGATCCGAGCCCGAAACTGTTCGCTGATGATCCCCGTCTACATCTGCGAGACTCCGCTGCTCTGTCGATCCGGCTGGCCCTGTCCGGCAGGGTGGCTCGGTATGGGCGACTACTGCTACCACTACGTCTCCAGCGCCCACAGCTGGCGGCAGGCTGACGATCACTGCGCCACATGGACGGCGCGCGGCTGGCCGCCTTCGTCAACCCTGCCACGTTCCGCGTGCTCTACGAGAGCTTCTCGCCGCCGTCGGCCGTGTTCGTGGGTCTCTCAGACCGGGAGACGGAGGGCGAGTTCCAGTCGGTGGATGGCTCAGCTTGGAACGTCACCTGGAAGGACGGTCAGCCTGATAATAGTGGAGGCAACGAGCACTGCGTCCAAATGGACAGAGAGGGCGCAGATGATGTGTCCTGCGCCCTCACGCTTCCCTTCTTCTGCCGTGTAAACAAGACGCCGTGCTAAGGGCTAAGGCCGTTTTGATCAATAAATGGCAAATTTGTTCGACACGAGGGTTGTTCAAAAAGTTCGCGAAACGATCATGAAGGCCAGGGGCTGAAATTTCTCAGGTTACTTTACTAGGTACTCGAAATTTCGACCTGTAACTCCACTCTCTGATGAAAGGATGTAGGCTTTTGACGTAATTTCTCTATGCAGGTTTTATGGTCCATTTTATATTTCAGATTCAATGGGGTAGTTAATTACGTTCTGGTGAAGGTCGGGTAAAAAACGGTCAAAATTAAAAGTTGATATTTTTGCATAAAACGGGTGCTTGTTCGATGCAGCTTGTCACGGGGAATCCAATGGTGGTCTTAGTTTTGCGTTTCGTGGTCTAGAACGGCTAAAATTGAGTTTGAAAATTTGACGTCATCAATTTTGAGAAGAGCCATGACCTAGCCAAAAAACGTGGTGTTGATCTTAACTTTTGTATATCGATTTAAAAGCTTGGGTTCCATAGCATATATTCCGGCTTTTCAAAGTTTTGATAGTTTTTTGGGAGATTTTGAGGGTATTAGGTAGGTATATCCAAAAATGTTTTTTTTTTTTGGAGGTCAAATTTCCAAAATTTCACAATTTCGAGATAGTTTTGTGGCGCGTTTAATCCTACATTTTTAATCTCTTGGACCTTTTTCGATACCTTCAAAGCTGTAGGCGTGACAGCTCTTCCTGCGGAACCTTTTTTGGGTCGAAAATGACAGAACATGACGTTATTTTGACGTCATTTTTGGCTAACCTATCATAGATTTGGAAAAATGGGTCCAACGTGAAAAATTAGTGCCCGGAGGGATCCTGAAAGTTTGGGAGCGATATTTGCTGTACTTTAGGGAGATATCGACAGAATATGAGAAGAAGGGACCGTCCCCCCCCCCCTACGGGGCACAGGATAAGTGAGATAGTTGAAATCATCCATGGTTGAAGCTTCGTACGAAATAGGAAACTAACCTAACACGATGGCCAATGGGTCATTCAATATGTGTTCTTATTTTTGTACTTGCTCAGTGGGAAAGGAAAGGACAACGAACCAGCTGCTAAAGTGGGTTGACAATCGATACATTCCAAAAAATGACTGCATTTTCGGACACGGGCACTTTTTAACCTTTTCGCGGGACTGAAGGGAAATACACGCTATGACGTTTTGGGGTATCTTATGTATTTGTTTACACGTTACAATGTTTTTTTCAGTATTGTCATTGAGTCAACCACCGGTGGTTGAAGTGCCAGCACTAAGCAATGCTTGCATTCGTGACAAAACGTATAGGTGCTAATAGTTATTAGTGCATCAGCGCATTTCAAAACACAATCATATCCTTGCGACGCTCTGTGCCATTAATTTTAATGACTGTATGTCACATCGCACTTGTATGCTTTAACCCTCGCACGACCAGGCCATTTCTCATAACGAACGACCAGGGGGGGGGGTTGTTACGACCCCCCCCCTGGCGTTTCGAAACGGAAGGTCGTAGAGCTTAGCGGAAAAAAACCAACGGATTGCTCTCAACGAGATCTCGCGATTGGTGGTATATTTTTTGGTCCTAGGTCAACATTTGACCTACTTATGACCGGTCAAAGGTCAAATTTTCCGAAAAAAATCAAACTTTTTCAACTTTCCGCGGCGATTGCGGCAAAACGGTGGGAGATATCGACTTGAAACCTTCACTATCGTGTTCCTTGATCAATTCTCTATCGTTTGGTATGTATTTCGTTTCCCTATAGCTCTAAAAATGGCGCGTTGGGAGCGCCGGAAGTCGGCAAGGTCACAGTCGGCGGCAGAAATTCGAAAAATCAAAATTTAAATTTTTGAAATCTGATTGTATTTTTGGATTTGGGAGGTCCATTTGCTCCCTATAGAAGCTAATATTGCTGCATATTCCCATTGAGGTGACAAGAATTAGCAAAATAGTGGTTCGGGCGCTTTTCAAAAATAGTACCGGACGCTGTTCCTCTTGTGACGTCATAGCTCCGTGACCTGACCTGACCCGGTCAATTTTCTTGCACCACACGATAGCCAATGCTTGCCCCAACATGCATGGGAAGTTTCATCATGATCCATCAAACAATGTGGGTATCACCGGCAGAAAACCTAGGGATTCGGCGCACACGTTTGGTAACTGTCGGCCGGAGGCTGTACCTCTTATGACGTCACTCCGTGACCTGACATGACCCGATCAATTTTTTTCGGCAAAAGATGCGCAAAGGTTGCCCCAGAGGGTATTGAAAATTTCAGCCCGCTACGACAAGCCGTTTAGCGTGCACTTCGAAAAAACCTCAGGGGGGGGGGGTTGATACAACCCCCCCCCTAGGCGTTCTAGGGTTAAGTTTTACAAGATCGCTGCAACACGACATCCGAAGGAATGCGGCACGGTCGTTGCAGAATAGGAAGTATCAGCGACGTTTGTCGCTGTTGAGAGAGGGGGAGAAGAGATAGAGAGAAAAAGAGGGGGAACTGGGAAGGGAGAGAGAAGAGGAAGAGAGGAAGAGAGAGAGAGAGAGAGAGAGAGAGAGAGAGAGGAGAGAGAGAGAGACCGACAAAGCTGAAAAGTTGTCAATCATAAGTTCTCGATCATGACAGTGTTGAAAAGTCGAGCCCAGCTAGAATATTTCATTTTGCTCACACTGTGTTCAGTCGCTTGTAAACCAGTCTTGTGTAGAAACATTACCTATTACATTGTTTTCATTGAGCACTATAAGGCCGATACCTCCGCTTCGGCAGCCGGAGGTTCGTCTTTCACGTTCCCGCGAGACTTGAATGTGAGTGTCGCAGCAAGGCCAATGCAGACCAAGCTTCCACCGACCAGATACACCTCGGCAAACCCCCACTGCTCGAGCACAACTTCGGCGGCGTACGAAACCAGCGGCGAGCACAGCGCGGAGGTGAGAAAGATGACACCGTAGATGTGTCCCGCGTGCTGGGAGCCGAACGTCGCCGCGGTGCCCGTCACAACCACAGAGAAGTGCCCGATACGCAGAAAAAGATGGACCACATCCAACAAGGAACATCCCTTGGCTGGCCAGTGACGTTGAGGGGAAGGTGAAGAGGAGGGCGCCCAGGAGACCGGTGATGGCTACCATTGTTGGCTTGTAGCCCCAGGCGTCACACACGAGGCCCCACACCATGCGTCCGAGCATGTTGAATACAGAAGAGCCGATGCCCACCATCGCCAGGAAGTGGTCGTCCTTGATGAACGTTTGTCCAAAGGCCTTCCAGAACGAGTTCACAGTGCCCATACCGTAAGCGTTCATTACGAAGCCGAGTAAGAGTTGGAGGGTTTGAATGGTTAGTAGATGTTTCCTCCATGCTTTGGGATCGTCTTCTTCGGGGTCTTCCGCGATGCCTAGCTTTTCTGGCAAGCTATCGCCGGCATCTTTAGCTCCCGGTGCGTCGCTTTTCACTTCAGTCTCCTCGGACAGTTTTTCACCATGTCCTGGTGGCGGACGACGCACGCCCAGCACTCCACACAACTGCAGAGCAGCACAAATCGCACCCTGTATCAGGAACAACGACGGCACACGGTCCAGCAGCGCATCGTCGTGGAAGAAGCCGTCGTCCTCTGGCGAGACGTTCTCTGGGTTCAGGTAGCTGGTCTGCACTGAGGTGAGGATGATACTGCCGAGGCCGTAACCCCCGACCACCACACCGCTGACCACGCCGCGGTTGTGCGGGAACCACTGGTAACCAACCATCAGTGGCGATGTGTAAGCCAGGCCGATACCGACCCCACTCATCAAGCCATACGACAGCGTCGTGGTGGCAAACGACGTCTGTACGGTTAGGCATGTGAGCGCCATTCCGACCGAGCAGAGCACACTTCCAGCAAGGATCGTCAGACGAGGCCCGAATCGGCGACAGCAGACACTTCCCAGCAGAACTCCCGGACCCTGACAGATACTCTGCACGGCCCCGATCCACATAGTGTCGCCGTAGTCCACCGACAGGCCGAGCCGGACGTGCAGGTAGGACGTCAGGTAGGTGGTGAGGTTGCCGTATGTGTACATGATGCCCAGCGAGAGGTGAAGCAGGAATCCAGCGGCCACGGCGATGACACCGCCGCGCGGCAGGCGGCGCGCTCCATCCCAGAGACGCCGTGCGCGCGAGCCGCCGTCCATGACGTCCGTGCGTCTGCCGACCTGCTGACTGTGCTGAGACACCGCTGAGCCGCTACAGCGGAAGTTGGCCTTTGCTGGACCGCTGTCAACAAATGCAGCTGATGAGATACGGAATTGGTATCGCGATATGATAGGCGTGCGCATTGTGCATGAGATACGGCTCGGTCATGTGTTTGAACAGATTGCGCTTGGATCGATATCTGGCTGAAATGGTTCCGCCAAAACGATATGTATTGCGCTCTCTGATAATGCTTGCAATGTTAATTTGTTCAAATAATTCGTTGGATCGTAATGTGCCTATGATTTATTTACGTTCAGTGGGATGGAATGAGAAAAAATCATGTTCTATGAAATAATATGTCCATTGTCCACTCAAACATTCCGCTTACATCTCATTGCATCACAAAAAATGACATTTATATTGTTGGGACTTATCATGCTGCCCGTTACATAGGTCCTAAAAACTAATTGTAACTAATTGTAACTAATTGTAAACTAATTGTTGCAGCATACCTACAACCATACATGTGCGTGGATCTGGGCGCTGGATCTATGATCCCAGTTGATCTGAAAACAAACGACGAACTATGATCTGTGTATCCGTTGGAACCTATAAAAAATATAAGAAAATATGTCCTAGATACATGATTGCATAGGGTCTGACGAAAAAATAAAGAACATGAATACATGCTCCGAGTGGATCCCACCATATGCAACCTCTGCAGCCATATGTCTATGTGATTTCATGTCAACACCTAAATGCCACAAAACTATGTACTGAAATGTGCGATCACATATCCCTGAAGCAGAACTATATACGTATTTCAGCATGCGATCCTTGAATATTTTCGACAAATGTGATGATATATGATCTCACCAAATCTCAAGACAAAAAATGGGCTCAGATCTTATCTATGGTCCCAATGGATCTCTTCACAAATATGAGAGCCAGATCTCTATGATCCCATTGGATCCGACATCAAAATCCTTGGGATCTAATCCAAGATCCCTCCCCCGGATCCATGCACATAGCTATACTCGTCGTATGCATGCATACAACCGTGCTTTGGCTGTGCTAATAGCATAACTATAGCAGCATGCTAATTGACAACAGGATCGTGTTACGAGTTGTTGTCTCCTGCACCCTATTACACACCTGGCTGCAGTATTTATACGTGTCCTACTGCGATCGCCGAGACCCGTCTGCGTCACTTCCACCGGCTGACTGCCACCTGGCCCAGATTAACACCACCGCTATCTGGGCACTCGACCCTGATCTGATAACGGAGGGACTGCCACACATGACACAGCAGCATGTATTTTCTCCGGGGATGGAACTCCTCAGCACCTGTGCGCTGTTTGCAAATCATCCTTACTCATGATAATTACTTATACCTATACCTAACCCACGCCGAGCTATTGTACCTATTTAGCCGAAATCGTCCTGCTGGGAGGGGTACAGGTTGTGCCCCTTGTCAACTTCCGAACGGATGGCCGTAGAAAGAGGAGAAAGCGGTAATAGAAAGCTCACAAGAAGGATCTTAGGGGCATTGTGCACATCTTTTTTGTTAGCAGGTCACAGGTCTAGTCAAGGTCAGTGTTTCTGCATTATTGGCTTTGGAGCCCAGCTGGCGAAGAATGGATTCCGATTGATCACAAACTACGCGTGTCATGGCTACCATGATAAGATCCCAACTGGCGGCAGCATCCGGGAATAGTCCAACGAAGCGCGTGTTAACTGCTTGAACCCTATCACCGTATTTAGAAGACACCGTTAGTTTTGGGCCCATAGTCGTTCAAGTACAATATTCCTCAAGTGCGCTCCAGAGTGTCTGATGACGCACGGCCCGTGGCCACCCACTTAACGAGAAACTTTCAGACAAGAGCCCGCTGTGGTGACCCTCAAACTTTTCCGCTCGACCGAGGCTTGGATAGGTGGCGCCGTCCTCTAAATGCACCGATACTTTCGGGAGATCTTAATTATCATGCTCAAGTGCGGAGATACGTACGCATTGTTAATCTGAGCGCTTATTAATCTGAGCTCTGGGAGCACGGAGGCAGTCGGCACAAGCACTGCCATCGGCGTGTCTCTCGCTGCGATCGACCATCCGCGGACTCGTTCATACACCGATCAGGTGTACCTACCACTTCAGGTGAGAACTCGGCGCACGGTTCCCTTACTTCGTATTGCACCAAATGCTGTTAGCCTAACCTACAGGATGTTCCGAAATTGATGCGCGACTGCTTTATCCTCAATAACTTATAAAGTACTCGAATTTATTTCACGGTTCATGTTATCATAGTCCCCATTCAGTCGCATACACGGCCTCCAGCGTGTCACGTTTCACTATTTCAGGTTTTCAAGAGTCTCTCCTTTGAAACTACGCCATGCCGTTTATAACTTCTAGCAGCCTCCTCTCTGAGCTGAGCTAGCCGGTGGAAGCTTGCTGAGCTCTTTTCTGACGATCGTCAAGATAATTTGTATCGGGAACAGGTCCAGACTGTTGCCAGACCATGTCCCCTTCTCCCAGAGGCCTGGGAACCTCGCTCGGCACCAGTCCTGGGTCTTCCTGGCGTGATAAGCTCGGAGCCCTTTCTTGCTGGAAAGTAGCCCTGGACATATCCGACGAAAGTTTGACTGGTTTTTGAACCATTTACCTTTTTCCTCAGCATATTTGTGGCAGCAATCTTCTTCAGCACCTCCCTGACATAGTAATCAGCAGTCACGGTCTGTCCCCGCGGCACCTCGTAAAGATCAGAGAGCCTCTGTAGCTCATCATGCTCCACATGAGATTCTTCAGCAGATGTTTCACGATCTCGATAGCGGACTCCTCAGAGCTGCTGTTGGCCCACATTTCGATCGTTCTGGTAGTTCGGGACCTAAAGAGCACAAAGGGCACCTCTTCACTAAAAAGGACGCACATCTAGTCCTGAATGGTCCAGTGTTTGTGGATCTTGGCGAAATCCAGCTGCCTGCACTTCTGGACCACGGAAGCCAGGTCTGCATCCTGAGGCTGAGCACTTCAGCTTCAAGGTAGTCTTCAAATACTGGTGCAGGGTCGATTTGGATGCTGGGCAATGCATCACTCCAGTGATGCATGGGCCAATAAGAGTCCCTGTTGATCAAACTGTAGCCGACCGTACTACCATGTGTAACGTTCACGACAATTCTATAACTCACTTTACCATACGCATTTGTCGACAGCGGGTTCGCGGAGGTCTAGTACAGCGGCAGCGGTAGCGGTTCAAGGGAAACTCACTGCAGAGATAGCAGATCAGCAGACCGGACGACATGGACGTCGGCTCGCGCGCACGGCGTCTCTGGGATGGAGCGCGCCGCCTGCCGCGCGGCGGCGTCATCTCCGTGGCCGCTGGATTCCTGGTTCACCTCTCGCTGGGCATCATGTACACATACGGCAACCTCACCACCTACATGACGTCCTACCTGCACGTGCGGCTCGGCCTGTCGGTAGACTACGGCGACACCACGTGGATCGGATCCGTGCAGGGTGTCGCACAAGGACCGGGAGTGCTGCTTGGGAGCGTCGCCTGCCAGCGATTTGGGCCTCGTCTGACGATCCTCGCTGGAAGTGTGCTCTCCTCGGTCGGTATGGCACTCACGTGTCTCACCATACAGACTTCGTTTGCCGCCACTACCCTGTCGTATGGCTTGATGTGTGGCTTCGGCGTTGGTCTGGCCTACACCACGCCAATGGTGATGGGTCACGAGTGGTTCCCTCACAACCGCGGCATGGTTAGCGGTCTTGTGATAGGCGGTTACGGCCTCGGCAGTATCATCCTCACCTCAGTGCAGACCAGCTACCTGAACCCAGAGAACGTCTCGACAGAGGACGACGGCTTCTTCCACGACGATGCGCTGCTGGACCGTGTGCCGTCGTTGTTTCTGATACAGGGTGCGATTTGTGCTGCTCTGCAGTTGTGTGGAGTGCTGGGCGTGCGTCGTCCGCCACCAGGACATGGTGAAAAACTGTCTGAGGAGACTGAAGTGAAAGGCGACGCACCGGGAGCTCAAGATGCCGGCGAAAGCTTGCCGGAAAAGCAAGACTTCACGAACGGGGCTGAAGCAGACGATCCCAAAGCATGGAGGAAAGATCTGCTAACCGCTCAAACACTTCAACTCTTACTCGGCTTTGTCATGAACGCCTACAGTATGACCATGATCAACTCATTCTGGAAGGCATTTGGACAGACATTCATCAAGGACGACCACTTCCTGGCGATGGTGGGCATGGGCTCTTCTGTATTCAACATGCTCGGACGCATGGTGTGGGGCCTCGTGTGCGACGTCTGGGGCTACAAGCCCACAATGGTTCTCTTCAGTGGTCTTTTTGGCGCCCTGCTGTTCACCTTCCCCTCGACGTCTCTTACCACTCAGGGGGTGTTCCTCGTCTGGTTATGGTGCATCTTTTTCTGCGCATCGGGCAATTACTCAGTAGTGTTGACAGGCACCGCGGCGACGTTCGGTCCCAAGCACGCGGGACAAATCTACGGCGTCATCTTCCTGACTGCAGCGCTGTGCTTGCCGCTGGTTGCTTACGCTTCCGAGGTGGTGTTTGAGCAATTGGGTTTCGCAGAGCTGTACCTTGTTGCCGGAGGCATGGTCTCCGTCGGCCTCACGGCGACGCTCACGTTCAAGCCTCGAGGGCATGTGAGAGATGAACCTCTGGATATCGAACCCGATTCTTTTTAGGGATTGATGAAAACTTTGGGATAGTGTTTCTACTTCCTACGCAAGGGTAGAATACATACGTCATGAAGAGTGCTCCCGGAAATGATTCGTGACCACAAAGGTTTTTATGTGATAGATACGACTGTATTACTGATACTTAGTCTATTTCTATGAATATGTCTGTGAATGTATGTATGTATGAATGTATGTATGAATGTATGTATATTATGAAACTGTTTTGCCTATTCTGCGAATAAACCTTTGAGTACCTATCCTAAGCGAAGTTCTATAGAGCACAGATACTGCCAGAAGATACAGAAAGTGACGAAATCAACGCAGTGGGCTACGACTAAGACCCAAAAGGACTGGGCAAATACCTACCTGTCACGATGTGTGAGGAACTGAGCCTAATTATAGTGCACCCGGTCCTTTCGTCACTGACAGCACGCTAGTTTTTCGCGCAGCTCTAGCTCGACCATGGGCCAAATCCCCAATTTGCCGTTCGTGGCTGGCAAACCACCAGCACGGGCGAGGGATCAAACCACGGTAAGGTCGTGTCGCGCTAAAACACCCGTTTCGCTAGGTCCTGCCTCATGATATTATTGACACTGGGATGGAGACAGGTCGGGAAAGGTGGGCTGCCAAAGTCGTGGAAGGACTGCAGTTCAACCTCCCTGGTAAACGGCCCAGCGCAACCATAACCTTAGAATAGGACATCAGTCCCATTCACCGGCTCTCAACAAGTCGCGCTGCTGCGCCGTGGAGCGAGCTGACGGAGCCGGCTAAGCAGTCCGACCCCGATAAACTCACCATACGGGTAACGACTCGGTCCCCACCAACTCTCGTGCCAGAGTGTCCCGCCGCCGCGGCCCTGACCCCACATCGACCGCTGGTCACGTGACCCACGGTCCGCCAATAAGGGAACGCTCCGCGCGGCGTGGCCGAGCGCCCGCCGGGTAGACTGCGCCGCAGCGCTGCTCCGCCCTGCGACAGCAGCGCACGGCAAGCTCACCGTAGGGACTTATGCCATCCTAGCAGGAATTAAGAGTGTTTCGATTTCTACTTTTTTGACATCCATTTCACGTAGAATTGTCCAGCACATCCAAACAGGGGAGCCAACTATGTTGTCAGGGATCAAACACCCTTAGCCCAACCATTTGAAGTCTGAATGAAGTTAGTAGGTAAATGTAGCGTAGGGTGAGATTAATTCCTGCTAGGATGGATAAAATCCGTACAGAGCAGCTGCTGGACGGCTCGGCGGCCGTAAAGTGGTAAACAAAGTCACACGATGACTTACCCGACCCGCACAGGTGCAGTCGAGTCGGACGGTCTCAAGCTAAACAAAAATAGGTACAACTACAAGATATCTTGCGCTCGCTTCGCATTGCGTTGGCCTTAAAATGATTAGTCATAACATTTAGAATCGACTGGTGTTTTTCCCGTGTCTATTGGACTTTAGAAGCCTAGATATACGCCAAAAACTTGCTGTACCTACTTGCCAGAGCCAATATGCTTGCTACCTACCAAAAAACTTGAAACTATAAAAGTTGGGATCAATTGGTGTTTGTCCTGTGTCAATTTAACTTCTAGAAGCTGAGATTTTCACGAAGAATTTGCTGTACTTGCACATGTACTTGTCACTTGCCAAAATGCTTGAAAGTTTAAAAAAATGAGTTCGATTGGTGTTCGGATAGACATCCGACCAAACCTTTGTTTTTTGTTACTACACTATGCGTATACATTGTTCAGGGATATTGTTAGGCACAATCGAACAAGTGGAGCATGTGGCACATTTATGTGCAATAATTTCCAACTGAATGATAACAAAGTATTTGATTTGAGGTATTATCGGTTTTGTCGAAAAAAAGAATACCTAGCAGTGTGCTGAGGGCTGTACTTATTGCTGGCCAAAAAATAACTTCAAGCATAAAATTTGGGATCGATTGGTGTCCGTCCTGTGTCGATCGGACGTCTGGCAGCTGAGACATTTGCGAAAAACTGCTAAAGTACATGTAACTACATAAGTGCATGCAGAAATAACTACTTACTTGGCTACTTGGTACTTGTTAAAGTAGGTACTTGGTACTTGGCTAGGTATTTAAATTTGTTATCGATTGGTGCTTGTAACGGTGTCGATTGGACGATTGGAAGCTGAGATATAAGCTTATCTACTGAATGCAAGCGGCCGGCAACTGCAGTTATTATGCATCAGCATCGTGATCTTCACCCAAATGACTCGCTTCACGAATACGACCTCCCAATTCCCCATGCCCTGGAACCACCTCTGATAAACGTATCAACTTTGAATTTTCAGGGAATGTGCCCAGTTAAGTTTTAGGAAAATTTCAGCTTTCTAGCTCCAGCCGTTTTGAAGATATTCTCGAAAAAACCTGAGGGGTGAATGAAAACAACCCCCCTGCCATAAATAAATAGATGTAGGTAAGCTTTCCCGTGAAAAAAAATAACCCACGCCCCCTTAACGTGGGTGGGGGGGGGGGGCGAAACGCCTCCCTGTCCTTTTCCGTAATGTCTCCTAAACGACTGCAGATATCGTCACCAAACTTTTAGGACCGCTCCGGGCACCAATTTTACATATTGTGAAAAAAAAAAACAGGCTATGATGGGTTGGTCACAAATGAAGTTAGGATGACGTCACGTTTTGCCATTTTCGACCTCAAAAAGGCTTGGCCTTTATAATCCTTAGCTGAAACTGAAATAAAAGCAAGGATACTGATATTGTGACCTTATGAATTCTTATGGGTCACACCAGCGTAGAATTTCCTCCGACATTTTGAGCGTACGGCGATAGCTCGTCCCTTGAAGCATAAGCGGAAGGGGGGGGGGGGCACCGGGGCAATCGTATCAGCAATCAGCATTCACTCTATTCCGTAACGTTGCTTTCGAGAACCCACTGTTTTATTGCATGTATGGCCGCTTAGGCATGTATTGTATGGCCCATGTAGGCGTCCATCACTAGTGCCATCTAGCGGCAGGATTGTCGGTGCACTGCGGCTCAGCCTACCACCAGGCGCTCAGAGTTAGTGCCATCTAGCGGCAGGATTGTCGGTGCATTGCGGCGCAGCCTACCACCAGGCGCGTGGGGCTAGTGTCATCCAACGGATAAGATACAGTATTGTCTTTATCTCGACATGCGATCGATATGTTTCTCGAGTGAGCTCGCGGTTGAGCGTGATTTCGCAAGTGAGAGATTGCAGAATAGGTCGCCGTCAGCTATGCATGACATTTCGAAATTATGAAGTATGAACAAAGTCATTTATGTTTTCTTTATCACTCTTAGACGACGAACACAATTAGAGTTCAATCCAATACCCGATTTACTTTATATGTGTCATGTGCTGCTTGATAGGAAGTGGAGACCGGGGCAAAGGGGCTACCCTAACGCTTTTTTACGACACTGACCCTTCATTTTCAAACTTGGGAAAGATTCTTCCTATACCAATATCATCCCAATTAAAGTGCCTTTTGTTTCAGCTTTGTTTCATTCCCAAGGGCGTTCACATCCCATAATTTGTAGGATAGGAGATAGGTATTGGCAAACCCTTAGACTTATGTATTTTAGCCATTTTGCCCTAAGCCCCGGTTCAAACAGCACACCGGCGATTTATTTGCCTCGACATGAGAACATACCTCGACATGAGATGCCTCATCTACGAATAAAGTTGTTTTGATTTTGAACAACGAGATTTAAACGAGGATGGATGTTTATTATGTCATCTTTCCATCTATAGGTAAACAAATGGTACAAGGACAATCATGGAAAAACACTGAATGAGTTTTTTTTTGTAAACCGAAACGCGGCCGAGTTTTTTTTATAAATTTAGTCCGAATGGTTGAATGGGTGGATTTGAGGAATCAGAGCCCGCACTAAGCATGGCTTGTTGTGCTGACCCTGACCCCACCACCCGATCGCGCAATTCCAGTTGTATGGCAGAATTTTGTCCGAACGTTTAACGTGCCCTCACGACTGGACACGGCCCCCTTCGCTCACTCACGTTACCTGGCTTCTGTGCGGCCCCTGCCACAGACACGCACGCCATTACACGTAGGAGCTAAATGTGGCCGCCCGCGCCGGGGCTTGAACCGGGCTCTCACTACCGGCAAAGCGTCGGACTCCGGCGCTTTAATCCACTCGGCCACGGAGGGGACAAACATTAAACTTACCATGTGTAAACAGGAGTTAAACACATGGTAGTGCATTTCAGCATTAATAACGCTTGTCATCCGAATTCCGAATGGAAACAACTTATGGAATTTGGAGCTGCCCACTGCCCGCAGTCCACTTTTCTCCGCGCATCCCGTCCGAGGCAAAAATTTCCCAGCTCTGTTATTAGTGTAGCAAAACGCACTAAAATTGGGAAAAGACATGTAGGTACGATAACCACTCAATGCAAGAATGAGAACGTTTAGAGAAACTTCGAAACGGTTATCGAATAACATCTGTCCCCTAAAAGAGTGGACCAATATCAAAATGCCATAGTTCAGACGTCATGCCATATTTCTTCACGAAACTTGCCTGGAAGTGGAATATGCGTATTAGACGTGTTTAATATGCGTATTTAATATGCGTATTAGTGTTTGGAAACATTGCTTCGCTACATATTGTTCTTTTGGCGTTCAGATTTCACTGGAACTCGAAATAAGCATGTTTATGTTTTCAGGAATGCCCGGGACAGCCCGTTGAATCAGAAATATAAAGTTTTAACAAAAACGCAATTTCCAGAAAAAGCCATTGATCGATTTTGATAAAAACTACGTTGTTGGATTCAGCTTACAGTCAGCTTTCGAATCGTATGTATCGTTTCTTTTGAGCCTGACATGACCTTCCGACGAACCGTGCGGACTTTTCTGCAGATCCTGTTTGCCTGTTGTGCTGATTTTAAAGGGCCGCCCAGTTCCCCTCAGAGACTTTTTCCTTTAAGAAGGGTCACTTCGTCTCGATGGGGTGGATGCTGGATATGTTTGGATGGTTACTTGAGTTATGCTGAGATATATAAACCTCAGCACGACTCTAAAAAGTGAACCTCAGGCAAAAGAACTCTAAAAAGTGAGTGAAAATCAGCACGACTCTAAAATATCGCAACTTTGGCCGCAAAAAGTTATCTCGGAACGTAAGACAGCTAAAAAGACGCGGAAAAAGTAATAGATAGCTCGCTTTAAGATCTTTCAGAATCGAGGAGCGTCTTACCTCAGATGTTATTTTATGACGTGCGATGTGGCGTCATTCTCGTGCGCCCCAAGTCATCGCTAATCTGTGACGTTAATGGTTTCGAGTGCCGTCCCGATGGTGAGACAAACGACCTTCCTAAAGAGCAATGTTGCTCGAACTTCGCTCCCTACGACCCTTCATATAAGGCACGGCGAGGAGTCTCAGACAAAATTAGCCGACTCACAGTCGGTAGTTATGTGACCATACCACTGTGAAGCGTCACGTGCCGGGAGAAGTCCGTTTGGGAGGAGTTCCTCTAACGTCACTGCAGTTACACTTACAGATAAGGTCGACCACTTAGTCGACTTGAGAGTTGAGCGCGTGACCTTTGTTCGCTGGCCACGAGCTATGCCCACCATGATTCGACAGAACGGACGGTACAGCTGTTGTGAATAGTTTTATGTCCCGTGGAGGTGGTTTCACCAGCTGAAATTCCTGCATACGGCAAGGGATGGCACTCTGTCTGCCAACAATCTGGGTGCCATATGACAAATGATGTGTGGTTTTGTCGAAAACCTTATTGACAATGGAGTTTTTCATCATTATTTCGTTTCCAGGGAAGTGACAGCTAAGCTATCGTGCTGATTCTCTCTCCCTGCTTTTTAGATTAGTTGTAGGCGCAGTGCATGGAAATTAGTTGTTTTCTTTTGTAGGCACGTCAGTCAGCTAAAACTTGTCAAACGCACATAATTAGAGCATCGATACTAAATTCGAACACCTAGCCAACTAGAATCGTTCCACGGAAGAAGGATCGTTACGGCTGTTGCGTAGCAGAAAAGCTATCGTTACGTTTCGCCGGTATACAATTATATCTCCAAACTTAGTCGAACTGTCTGTATTATCAGGGAACATGCGGACCATTATCTTCCTGATCCTCTACGAAACACCTCCTTCCAGCGTCCTAGCTGCTCTCGATGCGATGGTTTCCACTCCTCGAGAGCCCGATATTTCTGCAGTCCGATTGACACAACCGTCAAAGAGCCAGCACGAATCTGGATCGTATATTCTGACAAAGCGCGCTCACTTGGAGATAGAGGGGGACGGGAGCGAGGCGGCAGCACGGCGGTAGTAGCAGCATCTGACGGAGCCGAGAGGGAGTCTGAGCTCGTGACTAGTAGATCGGGCCGCCGCCACCGCCGCGCGCCGCCGCTGTCCGGTCCTCGCACAATCACAAGGGGAATTATTGCGCGCCGGCGCTCTCCGCCTCACACACCGAGACGCGTGTGTATAAATTATCACAGCCTGTACGTGCGTCACCAGGATGGTAGCGGTCTCTACCAGGATGGTAGCGGTCTCTACTCTCTCCCCCACCGCCGCCGAGGGTAGCGGCAGGGTCGGTCGGCGCAGCGAGCGCCCCGTGCGCCCTCCTACGCCGGTTGTGCACGCACAAAACACACGCCGCCTCTCGGCTCGGGCCCGAGCGCTACTGTCGGGTGCACCTGACAATAGGTAACAATGCCAACTGTTATCAGCACTACAGAAGACCAACACGCACACAGAGAGGACCTCGGACAGCTCGCTAAATGGGTTCACGCAGAAAAGTCAGTTTGCAACAGTGGTGTTCAAATGGAACAACGGCAGGCCAGGGGGCGACAAAAGTGGTCATACGGGGCCGGTGATCAATGATGATCAAAAGATCACAGAAGCCTGAAAAACGGTTATGGTATTGTCGGTAACAAGCGTAGAAAACCTATGAGACTAAGCATACTGTCTGAACAAAACAGACTGGGAGAAAGGACGCAGCGATGTGAAACTATGAAAAAACGCTTCTATAAAAGTAAAAAGCAGGCTTAACAAAATCACATGAATGGACACAATCTCAAAGCGCGCACAACGTAATATACGGATCACAATATCAACTAGCGCACCGCACTGCTTACAAACGCGCATCGTGGCACAAGCATGTCTCGTCACGAGTCTTCACTAGCACACTGACTCTCCCTCGCCGAGGGTTCTAGCTCATCTCACTCTGAGCCATCAGCCGGCCTGACTCGGGAGCCGGATATCGGACTCGACGATGAGTCTGTTCAGTTCGTCGTGTTCATTGCCGGTCCGTGAGCACAATCAGCTGCTCACGTGGCGCCGTTGACCAGCAAGGGACCACTCTCGTCTACCCCGCGTCCCTCCCCCAGGCGGTAATCACGCTGAGCGAAGCTCTCCGGCGCAGGTCCTGTGAACGGGTAGAGCCGTTTGAATGTTGGAAATGCGGACTGCGGAATGCTGGACAAAGGCCGCGGGGGAAATCTAAGACATTTACAGAGTTATGAGGCATGCAGTGATTTATTATTCCTTTGGTGAGGCAGGAACCGTTACAGTTATCTGATGGATGTTTGGTGTATTTTTCACGACACTTCCCTGTCGGTGAAATGATAATGAAAAGATACTTCGCTGTAGATCATATCCAACGCCAGACGTCATACAAAACAAAGGCGCCTTGTGTCTGGCTGATATTACATTGTAGATATTAGAGTTGCAGAATTTCCCTACCGCACTACCGGCATGCCGGTAATTTTTCACTACCGCAGGTTTTTTCGTGGTATCTGGCATGTCTTGCCGGTAGCATGCCGGTATTTTTGATTTTGTGCAAAAAAAAATCAGCAAAAGATTCAAACTTTGGACACTAAGAGGCTCTCAAATTGTAATAAAACAGCAATATTAACCACTGCAAGATACATTTTGTGGTAGAAGTTCCATTGCTAAGGGTAGGGGTAACACATGGACCTCAGCATTTCACAGGCTTGGTTATAATTAGAATTGTCAAGAATCTACTGTGGTCTACAAAAGGAAGAATTGGAATGGTACTGTTAGGAATATAGAAGACGCGGGACGCCAGTGTTGAAGGCGCACGTGTTATTCATAATGTGTGTCGATTATTGTTATTGAGTCGACGATTGAAGTGAGTTATGTGTGTGAGTCAGTCAGGCGGTGCGCTTGACCACGAATGGTAAGCTGAAGTGTATTGGAGCAGAATACAAGGACGTGTGCACGATTTCTAACAGTACTCATTCATGTTGCAAAAGCACGATCAATTAGTAAGTCTAATGGTAGGTAATATGTATAACACAATAAAATAAATAAATGTTCATGACAACATTCCCTAGGGGAAAAGGCAGAATCAAAACACCAAAAAACACATTGTTTGGAAACTGGCCTTGAGTCTTGAGATCATGAGATGTGGTCTGAGAAACTCTACAGTCTACAAAGAATTTGACACTGACAATCCAGCTGAAAAGGCAGGTGTCAGGTAGCCCTGAGCCTGGCTTTGGTCCCATAATTAAATGAAAATGGATTTGAACTGACATTTTGTCTTATCTTTACAAGAAAACACATCATGAAGGCAAAATTGACACGAAGTGGCGCAAAATAATACAACCAAGGATTTACTTTTAAGATTGAGATGCTCTCTCCCCTAATGAATGGATGTAATCTGATGACATAATAGGTATTTATTCATATACCCTTTTTTGGTTGAATAACTGAAGAGAAATGAATATTCTTGTAGTGAATTACACTCACATTGTTGATTTCATTATAATTTAATATTGTGTTGGATAATTTTTATTAATATAATCATTCACGAGGCAGTGGCTTGCAGTCGTAAACCTTTTTTTGCAGCGTTTTATTCAGCTGGTTAAAAGCCTCTGTTATGGCGCATTTGTTTCGAAATCCTTCATAACCTTCTGTTTGTTCCCGTTTGAGGTTGGAGAGGATGGAAGATATCGTTTTTATACATATTGTTTGGTGACTGTTCTCAGGACCAGTGAGTTATTAACTCATTTTTTTACATGATTCGTATCTTATTCACGAACCAGCAAGCCATGGTGGATAGGAAACAGTAGATGTTGATCTCGCTTCCTCAGTTAGGAAGATGGCCGAATCTGTACTTGTTTATGTTTTGACCATCTAGATTTTAAACATTTGGCTGGGGCCTGCAACATTTTAGGAAAATGTGGAAAAGTAGAACACCTGTGAAATGTAAATGTGATTACTGCTCAGTGCTCACTGTCCAGTCTTTAAAAACACATTTCAGTAATTCAAGTTCTTTTTGTCCTCGCCTTTTTGCTGAATGTGTTAGTTTTTTGTAGGCAATACCGCTTTGATTACAGGTGATATTTTAACAGTTATAGACTGAAATTGAGTTTCAAAATTGTGGGTATTTGTGGGGCCAACTCAGCCAAAATCAGCCTGCTGGTATTTGTGGTTGGACAATGGATGGCTGCTGGGTGGGACAGGTACTGCATGCCAAAATGTGGCATCTCTTGTAGGGGTAAGCTAGAATCAAGAATGCAGGTTTTTTAGTATGCCGGTAATTTGGCGGTTTTTTTGCTTGGGGCGTGGTAGCATGCCGGTATCCCAGAAAATTTTTGTGGGGCGGGGCGGTGCCGGTAGCAGCCTTTGGGGAAAACTTTGCAACTCTAGTAGATATGGAACAGAAAGAACTAAGACCATTATCCTGAACAAGCGTACTCTGACCTTGATATCTAAGTCGACCGTGGCGCCAGTCTAGGGAGGAGAGATGGGACACGTACCTGGCGGGTGCGCCCTGTCGAGGCTGCTGGCCGCCGGGTGGGCCCGCTTCCGGTGGTGCCGCGCCGGCCGGCCCTGGTACGTGCTGTCTGTCGAGTAGTGTTGGTGCGGAGAGTGCCGCCGCCGCCCCGACCGGCTGCCCGACACCGTGATCCCGGCCTGCTGAGCCGCGCGCAGCACCGCCTCGTTGTAGCCGACGTCTGTGTCACTGAGCTCGCTCTCTTCGTCACAGGAGGTGGGCTCCCAGCTGCCGCCCGCCTCGCCGTTCACCGACGACTCGGGACTGGCACGCTCGGAGAGCTCTGACTCCTCAGGAGCGCCGTACAGCTGTAGGTGAGGAGCGCCGGGACGCTCCTGAAGCTGCAGCCGCGGCTCGCCGCCGCGGGAAGGTCGCCCGCGCCGCTCCCGACCGCCGCGACTCATCAGCGGTGCCGCCTCGTATTCGTAATCGTCCTCACCGCAGCTGGGTTCCGCTCGCATCTCTCCTCGCGGCTCGCCGCTTACGTTGTAAAGCGGCTGACGGCCGCACGCCGAGCGGGCCGAGCGCGAACTACCAGTTCCCGAGCTGGCCGCGTGGCGGCGCTGCGATCGCGGAGAGCCCAGCCCGCGCACAGAGGCGGCCGAGCCGGACTGAGGGTGGTGGGCGAAGTGCGCGGCGCGCGCGCCACTCGTCAGGTCCGGTGGCGGGAACTGCGGCGGCGGTGGCGCGAACTCATTGAAGTCGAGAGACGGGGGCATACCGGGGTGTGCCTCGAAACACGGCGTCCGCGAGCCTGCGGGGTGAAAAGGAGGAATGTCAGCCCCTGTGCAAGCTTGTGTCACGGTTCCGTGCTTCTATCCTCAGGATACTGAAATCCTTCTCCTCCACGCCGCAGCCCCCCTCCGGGCTAGACAGGCAAGTTTATCTCATGCGGGCTGCTCCCTTGGAGCGGCACCGCTGCTCCCGAGGGAGCGCACCCCGTAGCCGGGTGCAGTGAGTGCCTTGGGGCTGGGTGGCCTGTCCTCTGGACGGGCTCAGCCCCGGCGACTCACTAGGGTGCCCGCCCAGACCAATGTCTCCCCCTAATTCCTATCATCATTCCGGCTCTGAAATGGTCTTGTAAGACCGAAAGGGCCTAACCCAAAAAATAGCCTCCTCTCTGCCTTCGCGCTCCTCCGCTACACCCCACCGTCTCTCCCCGCCTCTCCGGCCACCCACCTCTGTGCTGGCTGCCTCCGGAGCCGGAGCCAGAGCTGCCGGCCGGTCCGGAGCAGAAGTCCGACCCGGACCTCTTCACCTGGCCCGAGTGGTCGGAGGAGGCCGAGCGGCGCGGCGTGGACTCGTCCGAGCCGGAGCTGGGCGGCAGCGGGTGGCGCGCCGAGCCAGGCAGCAGCATAGTGGTCGCGTACGGAGCCGGGTCCTCCTGAGGAGCGGGTCGAACGGTCATGGAGGGGCTCAGTGGGGCGTGTTGAGTGGTTGCGTCGGAGTCGATTGTAGGACACGAGTGTCGAGTAGTAAGGTTGATGAAAATCCGAAACAAGCCGTGTAATGATTTTTGCTCAATCCATTTTCCCGTCCATCCTCCAAGTAACATCTCCTTGCCACTAAACTGTCAGTGATTTCTGGACAATCCAGCACTTCTGGTCTTTTTCCGAATCCAGCATATCGTTATCTTGCAACAAATCGTTACTTTCTTTCTCAAACACTATGCACAACAACGTGGTCATTCCATTTATGCCACACAGGCAGCATGCTTTCCTATGGTAGACCCATCCCCGTCTCATCCCTCCCTATTGCTGCCCTTCTCTCCCAGTTCCTCACCTGTCCGGCCCGGTGACCGGCCACGGGCGCGCCGTAGAACGTGCTGACGTTCCTCTGGTCGAGCTCAGCGTACTCGGAGCTCACGAGGCCCACGTCACAGTTGAGCAGTTTGGTCTCGGGCTCCTTCTGAAACTGGCCGCGCCAGTCGCCGCGCTGGAACGAGGCGTCCATCCACAGCGGACCGCGCTCGCCCTGCATCGGCAGCAGCGAGATGTCGTCCGGCTTCCCAGAGGTCACTGGCGGGTCACAGCAGAGGCGGAGTCAGATATTGTCAGAGGGGGGAGGGTTGGTCGTATCGCGCCGGAATGGATTAGATCAAAGAGCATTCGTTTACCTTTGTTGTAGATGATACTGGAAAGACCAAAGCGATGTGTAACTATTTGAGGTCTACTGATGGTTTCCGGTGAAATTCTAGATCTCTGTTTTGCTTAATAAATGATAAAAATGATCGATTCACACCGATAGCACCTGCGCGATCCTGATGACCTCACAATGGTCTCGAATTCCCAGCCAAACCTAATGGCACGCAGGTTTACAAGAAATGAAATACCGCCCTGCTAGTTTTGGCACGGATAAACGATATACAGTGCTCACGCTATTGAATCACAGACCACGCGATGGCCAGTTTGGAGACGGCTCAATGAATCAAAGGCCGGGCACATGACTGGTAAGTCGCGTGCATCATTGGTTATCCCGGCATTTAACATTCCATTCCCCACATTAACTATAAAGTTGTGTAACTTAAGCCCACGTTTCTAAAACTTCACATGAATGATGCTTAAAGCTTTTGAAATATTATAGCTCTAAAGATTACGTAACGGTGAGAAATGAGCTTATTTGACGTGGAATGTCGAGCGTATTCTTTTCGGGCACATGTCTTTTGTCCGTACACACACTCAACCATACGTTTTTCACTCACCTGTTAGGTTTCCCAGCGCCTTCTTCTCCCGACGCCGGCGGCAGTAGACGACCACCACGAAGACGGTGAGCGCCACCACGACGAGCGTCCCGATCAGAGCGATGAACCACACCTCACTGACCACACTCTTCACCGGTGAGGCCAGGCGCGGGTCGGGCGCCGCGCCGCCGACACCGTCACCCGCCCCGCCGCTGCCGCCGCCCCCGCCCGGGGACATGGAGAAGGCGACCGCGGGAGACAGGGGGCCGGTGCCCGCGCGGTTCACTGCCGCAGTGCGGATCAGGAAGTCGGCCCCGGCGGTCAGGTTCTTCAGAATCACCTGTGAGGGAGGGAGACGGTGTGTTAGTGGGAGTGTTTAGTGAATTTCTTTTGCAATGGTGACTTTACGGCGAAACACAACAACTAAGCCTAGGACATTAGGTATACCGTAAATTTATAACCAATTTCAAAGCAAATGCTCAATGTGCAAGAAGCCATTCCGCAAAAGTAATATAGGATTTTACATTAAGTAAATCAAACCCATGGTAGCCATGGTCTATGTAAGCCAATTTGGGGCGTCAGCGAAAAGGCAAAATCGCTTCTGATAAAACAACGCAGAAACATAAGAGCCACAACGATCGCCATGCTACATTATATGCCCTGACCTGCGTGGTGGTGGCGTTGACGGTGACGTTGAAGCGGAAGCTGGACGCCTGCTGGCGCAGGTGTAGCAGGTAGCCGGTGGTGACGCCGTTCAGGTGCTCCGGCGCCGGCGGCTGCCAGGATACGCCGGCCGCCGTCGAGTTCAGGGTGCTGACCTCCAGGCGAAGCGGAGGGCCGCTCGGCACTGCGGAGAGAGGGTTAGAGGGTTAGGGGAGTGAATGGTAGAGCGGGGGTTCAGATGTGGTAGTCTGAACCGTGAACTTTGCAAGTTGAAACAGGCTGGTTGAAACAAGTTGAACCGAAGACAGAATGGAAATGAAGAACGAGCCTAATTTTCAGGTCCAGACGGTATCCATTATCCAGATATGTGGTATCGGGCGGTACCCGGTATCCATATAGCCATTACCAAGAACATATGTGAGGAGCGTGTTTGGACAAAAAGAAGCAACACCTGCTTGCAGCATTCTGACTCAACTATCAACTACGAACCAACTCATACAAACCACCTTCCAACGGTGAGACCACACACATGCCGTCAGACATCACGGTGACATCATCGACATCATGATCGTCCCCTGCCTCGCCCGCTTCACTCACCATCCTCGTTGGTGCGGACCTCCTCGATGTTGGAGGGCCTTCCCAGCACGCTCTGGAAGAACGGCACCACAAAGAACTGGTAGCGCGTGAACTTGCTGAGGCTGGCCACGATGTACTCGTTGCCGCCAGAGTTGTGGATGCTGAGCACGTCGTATTTGCCCGTCTCCAGGTTACGGTAGCGGATCAGAAATCCCTCGATGAACACCGAGTTTGTTAGAAGCTGTGGAAGAGAGAGGAGGGGAGGAAGTTAGTGACGAGTGAAAGGGAAATTTGTGGTATGTGGAATACATAGAACGTTGATCCTAGCCAATAAGAAATGCTAATGCGGCTTAGCATGTTCTCAGAATTCGTGAAGAACAATTTCCGGTTATCGCGTAATGAAGGCCTCTTTGGGAAATCCGTGTCAAAACTTGAAAATGAGTTTTGATTCGTTTGACGGGGAAGGACGCGTTGTAGCGAGACAAATTTCGCGGAAATGATGGATCCGGTCCATGATTAGGCTGATATATTGGACACATCCTTCAACTCGTCCAAGCGAACCGTCAAAGTTCAATACCAGCTAAGAAGTTGGCGGCGCCTTTGGTGGAACAAAGGACGATATCGCATCTTGAGGTTCAAACTTACACTGTCCTCAGCTAGTGCTGTTTTAATTTGATCCAGACACATCCGCGTTTCTCGTGATATTTAACGAGATTTTGCAACGTATTTGCAACGCCAACTGACACGTTCAAGCTCAGCCACTCCGTGATTAAGCCCGGTCTTTGTGCTAAAGTTTGGTATTCAATGTATGGAAGACGGCTTGGCATTGCAAGTCGACGACCTACCTTCATTAATTTGAGTGCGTCTGTTCCTACCAAGCGATGTAACTGCATCAAATTAAATAGCTGTTTTGCAGGGAACGCAAAGTGAAACGTCTTATGAACGTCCTACGGAGCGTCGAATAACAATAATTTACGCTAACATAGGGATTAACTAACGAAGATGCACTCAAAGCTACGCACTAAAAACCATTTAATTATGCACTTAATATTCACACAAACATCACTAATGCCAAGAATCACCCAATTATAACGATCAACGCTAATCTTCTACACTATCCAACTCAAAATTTACCGTATCAAAATAACACCAACTCTCCCTCCCGTGAATCCGGCGCTATACCTCACTAACCTTCCACGTGAGTCTGACGGCGGTGGAGGAGATCGGCGTCGCCTTCCGCAGCTCGACGGTGAACTCCTGCAGTCGCAGGGCTGCCTCAGCCACTCTGCGTCCCTCTGCGCCGTCTGTGGCTGCCTCGAGCGTATGTACCGGTGTCGAGAGCTCGGAGAGTGGGGATAACCCCTGACCGTTCTCTGCCCGGACTCCGAACACATACGTGGTGTCGGGACGGAGTCCGGTGACTGTCACCGTCTCTGCTGCCACTCTCTGCACAGCCGTCACCCAGCCGTCTGCTGTATCCGGGCTGTAGTACTCCACCGTGTAGCCCCGCAGAGCCGAGGCGCCAATCTGCTGGCCGGGCCGCCACGAGAGAGTCACCGAGGTCTCGTTCCGTGCGGTGACCCGCGGTCGCTGAGGCGCAGAGGGGTAGGTATCCGGCTCGGCCACACGGTGGAAGTTGACGTTCGGGTTGGTCGGGTTGGCGACTGTGAGGCGCGCTGAGGCAGAGGTTTGGCCCGATGATGATGTGACGGTGCACGTGTAGAGGCCGCTGTCTGATGTCAGGAGGTCTGTGGACGGGCGGGTCAGAGGTCAGATATGGGAGGGTCAGAGGTCGGGCACAGGTCAGCAGTGCCAGTGAGACGCTGGGTACTTGTGTGTGTGACGCATGGCCTGGTCAAAGTTCCGTTAAACACACGCTAAATGTGAGCTGGGATGGTGCGAAGGGGCAACTCTAAGCTACAATGTGTGTTACCACGTCAGTGCAACTGCACAAGTCAGCCAGAGGTCAAAGATGAATACATAGCACAGCATGTGTGGTCGGCTCGACAGGCTAACAAGACAAGCAGATAACGGCATAGAATGCCACTGAGCTATGGTCCTCGATGCGCCATGGGCCGTGCAAATAAGCATGACGACGGTGTAATAAATCTGGCCTGTTAGTAGCACAGTGTTTACCGAGCTATTACAGCTCGTCTATCGGCCTGCCCTCCCGCCCTCCTTTCAGTCAGAGAAGAATGATATCACGAATCACTGGCCTGCATTGCTTGTTAGACCCCTGCGTTTGTTGTTACGGTAAACAGCATATACTTTCGGAATATCAATTACCCAATCGCTTACACTGCTGTATCAAATGGTAACATTCATCACTATGCCTGATAGAGAAATGTTGAAAGCGAACTGAAATATATCTATTTACACACTTCCCATCATCTTCATCGTCTAAATCTCTTATACGTCCGCCAACACATGTTGATTTAAAATCCACTCAAACGTTCATCTGCCCCTTGAATTCACCCTTTCTTACGTTCCTATCGTCCCTCTCTATATTCCTTAGGTCAAACTCCCTATCCTGTCCCTCCGTCCACCACCCTTATCCCTCCCCTCCACTCTGTCTACGTACCGTCCACTTTGAGCGCTCCTCTGCCGACCACCCTGGTGCGCGGGTTGTCCTCGCTGATAGGCTGACCGTCCTTTTCCCAGCTGACGGCTGACTGCTGGCCGTCAGCCGGCCGGCACGGCATCAGCGCCAGCGACTTCAGCGGCAGCGTCTGGTTCCCTGGCAGCACCGCGAGTACAGGCGGCGGTCGGACAGAGCTGCTCTCCGCCACCTCCAGGTGAGCGCGAGCGACCTCCGACCCCACCGCGTTCAGCGCTGTGCAGGAATAGTAACCACGATCGGAGCGACGCGCTTCCTCCACGCGCAAACTGCCGTCCGCGCCGACACTGAAGCGGCCGCGAGAGTCGCCGGCGAAGAGCGCTTCACCGCTGGTGGCCGCAGTCCAGTAGATGAGGGGTGCGGGGTGGCCGGCGGCGCCGCACTCAAAGGTCACGGTCTCACCGTGCGCCACGCGTCGGTCACTCGGAGGACGCTCGAACGACGGCTGAGCTGTGGGCAAAAGGGGGAGGGGTTAGTAAATTGGAGGGAGAAGTGAGTTCGTGTAAGCAGTAAGGAAATGATAATGAGTTGACAGTTGACACTGGATGAGTGGATAGTTTAGGTTAGAGGCATATATGGAGAGAAGCGTGCGGTTATAGTTTAGAGGAAGGATGAAAGTGGTAGAGATCTTAGAGAATTGGAGCAAATGGAAAGGAGAATTTCACGGGCTTTGATAAAGCAGAGGGGCTCAACTGGAGAGCCTGAGGTCCGGCTTGCTACTTTGTTTGCACCTGGAATAACGCGGCAGAGTCTGCCAGCAAATGAGGAAATATCGTTTTCCGGGAGCGGGGGTCGGCTTGTTGTCGTACACCGGACACCCGGAAAATAGTGTGAGCTGTGAGAGTTCGTGAGAACGGGTGATCATAGATGCTTGTACTGATGTTAAGACCGAGGTGACTGATGATGGACAGATGATGGATGGACGGCAGGTTGTATGGAGTGTTGATGTCTGTCGTATTTTCTCGCGTTCTCGCGCGGCGAATTGATTTTATCAAGTGGCTCGACACTCCCATTCGAGGCAAGGATGACGGTGTAACGGCCGCACCGGCATCCTGTTGCCAGATTAAAAACTTATAAATATAGCGGAAAACGCGGCCAATTCCGCGAACAACACGGCCGGGCGACAGGTAAAAGTCTCCGGCTGCCTGGAAGCGGCTCGGTTTTCCGCGCTAAGAGTCTGTCGGCCGCGAGCCAGGACGACAAATGAGGTCGGTGCTGACGGCTGGACAGCTTGCCAGCGGATCTGCCGACCTCGCCCGTCGGCCCCAGCATCTCGGCTGTCGTGCTCGACAGCCCGACAGGACGCTCGTCATGGCGAGTTCGTTTCGGAGCCGACAGGCATTCCACGGTAGACAGAAACGCTTGGACGATGAAGCGAGCTCTCAGGTGAAATGAGGCTGTCATAGGAAAACAGCCAGCTCTCCTAAAGTCAGAATTCCGCCAGTTTGAGCTAATGCGTACGTTTGAAACCGAATATTACCTAATTGACGCTCCCTTTGATTCACTAAAATCCCAACGGCAGAAGCCGGTGGAGTTGGCTGTCACTAACACTCAACGGAAAGAGGAGTCAAAGGGTAGAGAGAAGAGGAGTGGTCGGACAGCAAAGGAAAGTCCGCCCAGTCTGAGCCGGGAGCAGGGGAAGGGGAGGGCTTAGGGTGGCACCGGGGCCGCCGCCACATGCAGCCGGTCTCCAAGGCGGCACGATTTAATTAAACACATAAAACAACTGGCGGCGCGCTGCGAAAAGTGCCGGCACCAGAGAACAGCCGGCGCCGCGACGGCCGGCGGGCACCGAGTGCGCCAAACGACGGAGCCGGCGCGGCGGCTGCCCGATTTCCATGCCCCGAGGCGGCGGCACCCGGCCAGCTGCGATACTGAAATTCGCTCAGGAGCGGACGGCGCTGGTGTGAGGTCTAATACCGGCCCGCCAAGGCAGGCTATAAGGCAGCCGGACAGGAGCGGCGCCAAATGACCTGCAGACCTGGGGTCGTAACGATCCCAGCCGTGTCGCACACAACTGCCGTGTGGATGAAGGGGACGGTGCGAAAATTTCCCAGAAAATACGGCATGACATTATTTAAGTTGCGGGTCGTAATCAGATTAAGATGCAATGTACGAAATATTGAATACATACCCGGGCGTACAGCTGCAATATTTTTAACATCTTTTAGTAAGTCCGCATGCATACCTCGATGACTAAATTAGAAGACTCCAATGCCATCAAGATAAGTGCAGCAACGCATATGCATAATGAAGCTGTAACTGATACCAGTTGGGCCCAACAGCAGTAATCATGAATGCCTCCTATCGGCCAATGGCCGGTAACTTTTACCCGTCTGTCACCTGGATACATGCCTCATAATGTGTCTGTTATGGATCAACAAAGGAAAACAAAACTCATTCCTATTCTCGAGACATGACATGAGCTGTGGTATGGCATAAAGAAGATAATCCTACCATGCACTGCTTTTGGCTTTAGTCCATTTCAGCGCAGTGTTCAAGGACAGGTATTTAATGCTTCAAACCCAGAGTGAAGGCATGTGTAACTGAATTTAAACACTGCTGGGTGGTACTCAGGGGCTCATTGCGCCTCACGACTCGGTGCAATGGCTCAGGTGGGCTCAGTGCGGGGCTCCGGGCTCAGTGCTCAGTGGGCTCCGAGCCCTGAGACCCTGCACTGAGGCCCTCAGGGCTCAGTGCAGGGTCTCAGGGCTCAGCGCTTCTCAGGGTTCAGCGCGACGCCTCAAGGGCTCAGTGTGCACAGTATGACCGTCTGACGTCACCATGACGTTCCAGCCCTGACGTCTGACATCAGTGGTCCATCAGCAACTGATGGCTACCCCACCACGCCCCGCCCTATGGACCTTCCCTCCCCGCCCCTCCCTGTGCATCAGTTAGCCATCAATCATTACTCGGGGAGCGGTCCGCCTGTGAGCGACTGATACGGACAGGGCGGCTCTCGCAGACATCATCTGCAGGACAGCGCTGGAAACCGGCCCACCGAGCGACCACTGCACTGCTCTGTGCCGTCTGTAAGCCGCCCGGCCGGCCCCTTTTGTGCGTCAGAGCGCAGGCCAAGTGGACTCGCTGGATTTATGGCGACAGCTAATCCAGAAACGCTCCACGCGTTTTCCGACGCCGTTTGGCGCTCTTGTTGTGGCTGATGGCCAGATGGGTATCTAATTGGACATATATGGCGGCTTTGGGTCTGATGAATGACACTGGATGAGCCTCCGACAGAGGAATTAGCCGGCGACGGGTGCAGGACGCCGCAAAAATGCAGCACAGGGCACGGTTACCGCGGTCCTCATGTCCGGATTAACGCGGCACGACGAATTTGCAACAACTAATCCCTGAAACCTTTTGAGCTCGATCGTGATAATGCGACTATCCATCACCAGGAATACCCACAAAAGAAGCTCGGTGAAAATATTACACATTTGAAGATTAAATATTATTTTCCGTTTTTATTCAGACAATGCGGATTTCTTATGATATGTGCGAAGGACCAGCGATATGAAGTTAAAGAAAATCCGCTTCTAACAAACGACAAGATCTGGCATAAAAGGAGCGCATTGTGTGCGGTGTTATACTGCAGTATGTTGCATGACCACAGCGGATTATGTCAAACATTCTACTGTGTGAGCTACCTCGCGCAACTGAAATCCACCAAACAGGCGACGAGCCTCACCAATAACACGTGAAAATAGCCGTCATGGGCATTCAAATTGAACGTTCTTCATCAAATGATGTTCATTAAGCAAATTCACTCAGCGATTCACACCTGCCAGTATAATGCTTACGAATACCTCCTGTCTCCGTCCGACATATAACTGTCCACCAGCAAGGCCGTATATATTGGACTAAAGGAATGTCGTAATCATTAATTTTGCGGCGACAGCAGCGACGGAGAGGGTGACTGTTCTGACGTCACAAACGGTGATGACGTCAGCAAAGGCGAGCGAAACATGATGATGTTGTCATTGTCAAAAAGGAGGTTTCATTAGTGGCCGATTTGTGGACGAACAAAATTATCACAACGTTCAGCGCTTAACGGCCATAACTATGAAATACCTATTTCAAATATTCCCTACGTGAACAACAGTGACGTACCCAAGGGGGGCCACGGCGGCCATGGCCCCCTCCTGAGCGCCGAAGGCGCTGCAGGGGGCCCTCAGGCCCCGGTATATATTTTTTTTCAAACACTGGATAAAATGAAGAAAAAATGATATCAAAGTCTCATTTATGTGCCCCTGGTTACCCGAGGGGCCCCTGATGACCCGATGGGCCCCTGCAGTCATCCGAGGGCCCCCGGTTTCCTGGGCCCCTGGTCGCCTAGGGGGCCCTGGTAGCCGGGGCCTGGTCGCATGGGGGCCCCTGATTGCCTGGGGTCCCTAGTCGCCTAGGGGGCCCTGGTAGCCTGGTCGCATGGGGCCCCTGATCGCCTGGGCCCCTAGTCGCCAAGGGGGCCCCTAGTCGCCAAGGGGGCCCCTGGTAGCGGGGCCTGGTCGCATGGGGGCCCCTGGTTGCCTGGGACCTCTGAGGGCCCCTGGTTACCTGGGGGCCCCTGGTCGCCTGGCGGCCTGGGGGCCCCCGGGTGACCTAAGGGCCCCTTCGGAAGCAGGTGGCCCCCTCCTGGGCGAAATCCTGGGTACGTGCCTGGTGAACAAACTTAAAATGAAAAAAAGAAAACTAGTAAACGTCATTAGCTGGTGTGAGACCATTTACCGCAAAACCGATCGACAAACCGACAGTTGACAGTGCATCGTTACGTGACCAACATGACACAGCGTGACGCCGCCGTCTACTCACAGTGCACGGTGACGGTGGCCGATGCGGTGACGCTGCCCACCACGTTGTCCGCCTCGCAGACGTAGGTGCCCTCGTCTTGCGCGCGCACTTGTTCAATCCGCAGCGTCTTGTCTCCGAGCACGTTGATGCGTCCGACGGGCATGCGGTCGTTCTTTCGGCTCCAGTAGACAGAGGGGGGCGGGTCGCCGGCCACCTGACACTGCAGATCCACAGAGTCCCCGACCAGCACTGTCGTGTCGGTGGGACCGCGCACCAGGTGGGGGCGAACTGAAACAGATAACCGAGATGTGGTTAGAACGGCTCCGGGCGGAGACGAGAATCAGAAAGGGAGTTGAGGCAGGTGGAGAATGAGGCGAGGGAGACGAAGCGAAGACGAAGCGAAGACTTATCAAATATAATAAATTGCAGAATATCATACCAGCAGGAATACGTGACGGACGTTTAGTGACAGGTCAGGTCACGTTATGAAATGATACGACGGGGCAGAGCAAGTCGCATGGATCAGTTACAGAAACATCAGCACATGTTGATTGATTACAGGCAGTCTTCGCAGAGCCTAGATGGGCGGTTGGTTAATCACTGAAACCTGGCGTGATGGGATGCATTTTAAAAGCCGCCGGGTCAGCCCACCTAGCCACACCTCCACACATTTATCTTGCGCCATGCTTATCTCATGTTTATGGAGTGGTGAAGTAAATAATTATATTTTGACGAGGAACAGTCCCATCTGCACCCCATTTCGCGGCAAAGCCCTGCTGCTCGTGAGATGAAAATGCGAGGCGTCACCGGCGGCCCACAGTCGTCAACTCTTCAACGGGAAACAACGGCCCCCGGTGGCCGGCCGGGCGCTGAAGCTCCGTGCCAAAGACCATCGCTCTTCCGACAGCCGGGGCGATATTTCTCGGCCGCCAGAGACGGATGGCCGCCGGCGCGCTGCAATGGAATCTGTCGCCGCCGCAAAATGACGACGATAAAAAGAAGCGCCCGATTCGCACGACGGCGAAATTGCCGCCCGATGACTTCAAAGCCTGCTGAGAGCGGGTGCGCCCGCGGCGGGATTTACTCGGGGCGATCCGTCTTGGTGGCGACAGCCGGTCATGTCAGGTGAGGTATGAGTGCAGAGCGCGGCGGCTGACGGCCGGCACACGCCGCCAGTCGCACACGGAACCTCTCTGTCCCTGCAGCGGCGGCGGGGGCGACACTGGGGGTCCGACCACAGGAGACACCCGGCCTGCAGAGCGCCGCCACAGACGGCACAGCGGCCGCTCCCGCCGAGAGCGACATGTGTTGACCATGCCGGTGAAAGGGATTCTGTTTATTTGCAGGAGACCGTACAGTTCTTGCCCAGATGACAGGTGAACTGCAGCAAGCGCTGATGACATGTGTTGCTTGTATTATGGAGCACGTGAGGTGAGCAACGCTGCATCAGTGAGAAGATAATTCAATGGATCGAATTAACAGTCAATCTATGAACCCACTTAAGTTTCGCTGAATGATAGGTACTTCAAGATGATTCGATGGATAGGTATCATTGGTAGGAGATTGATCACAGGTTAAACGCATGCACTGGTCAAAATAACCATAATTTGTCATTAATCGAACAGAAGCTGTGAAATATTTACCTGTCCGCGTGTTCCATTAACACCAAACATTCGATGACCACCTGTGCCAAATGAAGCCGCTTTAGTGAATGAAGGTGCCAGCTTCTGAATCCATGGTCGCGACTCATGTCTGTAATGTATACGGTTGTCCGCATCAATTAGTTACCCAGATCAGTGTGATGTTGGCCATGTTTTGAATTCGCCACAGCCATTCATCTCTGGCCTAGCTGACAGCGTTTCCTGTCGGACCGGCGTCTTTGGCACCTCGCGGGTACCGCCGCCGCTCGAAGATGTATGGAAGATGTATGGGGTCAGCCATTCGGTCGGGTCAGGTCGTTGCCGGTCAAGCCCGTCTGTTTCCTTGCAGTACTGATAGGCTTCAGACAAGTCCGTCGATCCGGGTAGACGCCAGCCATGGGAGCATTTCAGACGCTATCGAGGCGTCATGACCACTCCCTGGCGCCCCTGTCACCTCCCCTCCCCTCTCTCGCCGAGACCGTGACAGCTGCCAGATCCACTCAGCGCTGCCACATCACGGGCCGTGTCGGTGCTGAACGGCCCAGGGACCCCGGCCATCAGGGGCGGGCGGGGCGGAGCGAGAGCGAGTCAGGCTCTCCCAGGCAGACCCCCAGACAAAGGCCTGTACCACGGCGTCAGAATCTGCCCCGACCGCCGCGCGGGTCCGCCAGGCGCCGCGGTCGACACTGAAACCCGCCCGAACGGCCCCTCAGCGGCTGTAAAACGGCCGCCGGCACTTGCGCCGCGGAGCAACAGAGCCACCCGGCGCCCCCCGCATCCGGTATGGGCCGTTCAGGCGGCGGCGAGATGAGATGTTGTCCTGCTCCGATGAGATCTGGTTCAGATGTCAAAGCAGCGCGGGGGATGACAATGGGAAGTAGTCAATGCTCGGAGCTGCTTGTAGGCAAAAACGAATTAGATGGACATTTCCCTCGATCAGTCAGAGTCGGAAACTCCAGTCGACGAGTTGTATTCATCACGCATTCATCAGCAAGGTCAGCGGTTAGCGCGGCACAATGGCATCAGCGTTATGAGTCATCGGGTGGTCCTCGGGTCATCATCATCGGCAGCAGGATGAATGATTGTTCTCCGTGATGTGGCGGTCAGAAACCAGCAGCGTACTGTGCATCACATCAGCACCAGCCAGTGATGCGTCCTATTGATCACCATCACTGGCGTCATCACCGACATCATCCGACGTCATCCGACATCATCGTACGTCATCCGACGTCATCAGCGTCATGGGCGCGCCAGCAGCGGCTCCCGTCTCGTCTCGCCATGCAGCGGGTCAGGTCTTACAGCAGCCGCTGCCGACAGCTCCGGTGTCCGGTGGCACGTTACTCAGCGCGCGGCAGTGCAGGGGACGACAGGTGCCGACGGCCGCGATAGGTGGTCCGGTCACCCGCCGGTGACTCATGCGGTCAGGGACGCGGCGGAGGTGCAGTGGTCCAGTGGCCCACTGCCAGGCGATGACTGGTCTCCCGGGACCCGGTGACCCACCGCCCACAATACCCCGAGTGGCTCAGCGTGTGAGGGAGATGTCGGCAGGGTACAGGTGTTTGAATGTGACTACCTATTTGTAGGGAGGTAGATTTAGGGAGATGTCCTGATGGTGTTAGCTGCTTGCATCTCATTTGTGCAACCTGTTTGTAGTTCACGTTCCTCCCTTCGTTGAGATGCAGAGCTTACTGCCATGGAGAGATTAGTTGAGCAATTTGGATAGCGGTGCTGGCTAAAACAGTCACGGTATTCTAACCCTTACATACTAGCTACGTGCAGCAGGGAGGACTTGCTACAGCCTCATCAACCGCATGATCCGTTCAACAAGTGCAGCGAAGCCGCGGCTGTCAGGACGACTTTGCAGGCCTTTGTCCCGTCATGTAGCACATTAGCGTCCCATGTCGCAGAATTTACGACTTACGGCAACATATGAGCAAATGTGCGGTCTGTCAGTGGTTGGCGGTCAGCCTCTAATCAGGCTCAGATCAAGCCATCAAACTTCCCTGGAAAAATGCCGCCCGTTTCTGACATCCAGCCCGTTCCACAGAGCTAACGTTCGGACAGGCATGTCCCGACATGGCGCCGAGTTCTACACGCTGCTGCTCTCATACATAAAGAGGACGAGTGAACGGACGTTGCAGGGCTTCCGAGCGACTGTTGCGTGCAGTGTAAGCCGATCTCTCGGATCCATTTATCTAAACTCACACACGCCTGCCATACAGGCAGCATGTCCGTTGGAGCGCAGCGGAAACAAAGACCGCTGATCACATGCCAATGCATTGGCATGTGATCAGCGGTCTTTGTTTCCGTTTGGGCACGCCATGGCGTGCCCAACACATGGCGCCCGTGCCGTGTCGGCAGCCGTCACGGACGGGGCACGGATGACAGACGGTGTTGTCGCCGGCGGTTTTCATTGATGAACATGTTCGATTATTTGCGGTCGCTGTTAAAATTCCAAACGGTATCTGAATCGTGCAGTTGCGTGCCTGGAGACATAGCCGGAGACCGAAAATGGATGCTTTGAACCGTCTTTGAACGTTCTTGGGACGTAAACAAACCTTAACCGCTTAATGTCGTTCCGAAAAGAATCCATCGGATGCGAGACGTGATGCATTAGGTATAACTACCTAAGGCGGGTATATGCATACCAAAAGAAGGTCCAGTAGATTCCTATCAGGTGGGAGCTTCGTAAGTGGACCAGAGTCGAGAGACGTTATCCAGTAGCGGCGGAACACCTTCAATTAAGGGGGGCACTGCCGACTTTGGTCCCATTCTTTCCATGCAACGCCTATAGGGCTAATGTTAAAATGCCAAAATGAAAGGGGGCACGGTGCCCCGGTGCCCTCCCCGTTCCGCCGCCTATGACGTTATCTTTTTTCATCTGTTGTATTGAGGGTACACGAATATCCACGTTAAAAATAAAATAATTAGATATATTAATGCCGTATTGGTTTCGTATATTAGCTTCGTCAGTGCCGCAGGAGCAGGGGAAGCAATTCACTTACAAGGAAGCAGCCAATAAAAAGTAAAACAGGGGCAGCTTATCAACAGATTGTTGTTCATTCTCTCTAAGACTGAGCCTTGAGCGACAGGGACTCACCATGAACGGAGAGCAGTGCCGGCGGAGTCTCCCGGTGCATGCCGGCATAGTTGTGCGCCTCGCACGTGTACTTGCCCTCATCCTCAGCACTGGCGCCGTTGATGATCAGGTCTCCCTCTCCGCCAATCTCCAGCCTGGCGAGACAAGATCACCAGGTCAGCAAGGGTCATTCAGAACTCCTCAGAGAACAGGTCACGGGGTTAGATTTGATACGGCAATCGCGGGTCGAGATCTAGTTAAATCAGCGGTCGATTCAGCAGTCGGGTCAGGTTTAGGACGACATCCATCAGGGTCGCCATCCATCAGGTCGGGTCGAGGTCGGGCCGTGATCAGCTCAGGATGCTTGCAATGAAGATCGGCGACGAGACAACCGAGCTGAAAAAGCGCTGATCTGCGGAGCTAGGGTTACCGCTCGGTCCCTGCTTAGCATTCACCTCTGCTCCTTCCACTGCATGGTGCAGTGCACAAGTGACGATCCGGCGGCAGCTCGCCCAGACTTTTAGCGCGCCGAAGCCCCAACCGTCTTAACGACCGTGTTTTCTTCCTGTCAAACTCCACCTCATCACAACCACCTCAAGTGCCTACAAGCTGCCGCGTACACGGCTAGGAGTCTCCTGCACGTCCGCAGCGTCGTTCGATATGTCACGCACGACTTTTGACGACTGGCGGCATCTGCACTTGCCTCGGAGACGAAGTAGCGACAGAGTGGGAGGTTCCGTCGCGCGGTGAGCGGTGCGCTTGTGTGGCGCCTCGCGGTTTGCACGCATCAGCCGAGCTCTTTCACCACCGCCGACGCGCAAAAACCCTGTTTACACCTGCAAGCTTGCGCCCGATGGCGACAGGTCCTCGCAAGAAAACAGGGATGTGACGAGATCTCGAAAACAGATCGCGATCGTGACCTCGTGACTGTCTAACGTGACAGCCTGATCGGACACGATCTATTGCGACAATTAGATGATGATGACATCCAGTCTAGTGATGACACGGATGACGGACGGCACTGTTTCTAGACTACAAACAAGTTCACTGATTTAAGACCATATACAAACAGCGACCACGACGTGTCCTCTAGGTCGTTGTCCTGCGCTGTGACGATCCTTTAGAGAAGAATTGGCGTGCATCGGACCGGGGGATAGGGCGAGACGCTCCCCACGGGGGACGACAGATCGAAGGGTGCCGACGGCGGGCGCCACGCGGCTCGTCAGGCCCGTTCCGCTCGGAAGGACAGTTCTGAATGATGCCGGAATCGGCACCCCACTCGGCGGCTGATCGGCTAAAAGGCGGGGAGCGTCCCCCGCATACTGAACGGGTTAGGGCCCCGCGCTGATGGCTGACGACGTCTGTCGGGGGGAGATACGCGCCACTTGCTCCTCCCCGCACCCCAGCCACGACGGCAGCCCGCTGACGCTTTGTTTGAAGAACTTTGCTCTCGGCGGCAGAACCCCCGGGACGCGGCTGGACCGGCCGTGCTAACTCGCCCTCCCGGCCGGCGACCGACAGCGAGTTTCTCAACTCATTAGCTGAGTTGGAGCCGGCCGGAAGAAGGTGGCGATATTTGTCCGCGAGCGCCCAGCGCGTGCCTTGAAAACATCGCCAAAATACATCCGGCTTCCTCGGCAGTAACGACACTTCAAACACGGACAAACTCACACGGCACGGCGCTGGAACGGCTCGCGAACGGCACGCAGCTCACGACTCGGCCCGACGTCGGTCGCACCTAAATACAGCACGGTATTACGGGGACGGCCGACGTCACAACGTGCCTTCATAACACAGCTGAAGGTTAGCGCGGTAGCGTGTCTGGATCGCTGTGTGGACATTCAGAGTCCGTGTGATGTCAACAGTACACACGCCGCATAAAAATAGCCCTTCTTGCCAGGTGTCCGTCATGAAAACGGGTCTTTTTGTCGCCCCACGCGGCGGGAACACCGACTAGTATGCAGTCATTGTCGCCATTGTTTCGACTGCAGCGGTGAGGCCACACAATCCCTCCCTCCCTCCCCTCCGTCTGCCGCGGCACCGTCCGGGCAGCTCACCTGAGTGCCGCTGCGATTACCCCGCGGCACATTAACCCCGACCGTGGTAATTACGCCGGTAATTAATTACGTTGATTACCTGTCCGTGGTGGAGACGTCCACAATCTTGCCGTTGAGTTTCCAGCGCACTGTGGGCGGCGGGTCGCCCTTGGGAGGCGCGCAGTGTAGCACCGCTCGGTCGCCAGTCGCCACGACCGTGTCCTGTGGGATCGTCTTGAACACGTCGCGAAGAACTGCCGGAGAGAGGGACAACAGCGTCAGGTCACCGCTCAGAGGGCGACAAACAAACACGACAGCGAGGGCGCAGTATGGTAAGAGGCTCCGTATGAGATGGCCGCCGCACGTGTCATGACCGTACTGGGACGACGAGCGAGCGCCGAGCGGAGGGCCCGCTCGGTATTGGCACGGTCGAGGCACAGCCGGGACGAGGCGAACCGTTACGGCAAGGTTGCATCGGGCGGCATTGCGGCAGCCGGTCTCGACCGATACGGTCAGCAACATGACGTGGCGGGGCTGGCGACGGTGAGGCGCCGAGGATCGCACGGGCCAGGGTCACTCGCTCTCGTCGACCTCAAGAACTGACGGGGAGAACACCCAAACCTAGTTCCGTGCCGCCACTGCCACAGACGGGCACCAGTGTCACTAGCCAACGCCATCAGCCGGTAGCACCACCAGCACCACCGTCACCAGGACGAACACGAGCGGCCGAGGCGAATACGGCGCAGTAGCAACGATGGCGCACGCCCCGCGGACCTTGTACGGTCAAAGCCTACAGGGACATTTACATCTACATTGACAGTGTGTCTTGTGCGACTCAATCTGTAACCCGTTCACAGCTAACAGCAGCCTGTTGTTTGGCTCACGACGGAATAACAGATAGGACTGAGAGAGCGCACTTGGGGAGCTGGAGAGGGGCAGGAATAGAGGAGCAGAGAACAGCGGCGCAGCATAAATGGTTAAAAATGATACAGAGGTCGTCTACCTAGAAACATAAACAATAGGATTACATTATTAAAAGAACGTTCAGGCATTTACAATCTATGTACATGTTAATGAAACGGCGACGGGCTCTCGCTTAGAACAGCGCACTTGTTAATATGCAAATGTGAGCTGAACGCCGAACATTTCTTTGACAAAAACTGAACTTACAGGATACAATAGGGCAACTAAAATCCTCTGAAAGGGGTTGTTTGCCATATTAGGTTTTGCAGGTATGAATGGTCCAACTGCACTTCAACCAACTTCAGGTAAATAAACATTTCATTTAATATTGCTGTGTACCAAATTCAAGAAACATTTGAAATAACTGAGAAGGCTGGCTGGACACTGGACGCTAATTTCCATTAATTTATAGCGGTGTTTTAATCAGTTTACAAGTTCGTTTGATGTCGGCATTGACGGCGACAAAGGGATTAATGATAGTTCAAACGCAATCGCAATCTTACGCACGCAAATTCCGACGAAAACCACGACCGATGTCGTACATTAGCCGTCGACCGGGCACTTTGTGTTAATTTCTTATCTGAATTGATTTAATGTGACATACATAACAGAACAATGAATGGCACGGAGTTTGTAACTCGACTGATATTAATGCCCGCATACAATACAGCGAAGCCGGCCTTAGTTTGTTTGCGTCGACCACTTCAGGACCAGAAATAAACGTGTGGTTTATGCATTATGAAGTGTTTTCATACAATAAATCACGTCGCCGGCCCGGTCTTCGCATGTATTTCGCTTGCGTGATCATAAATCAGAGAAATTGATTCGTCGCGTACGCCAGTGCCTGCGGTGTAATCGAAGCAGTAATGACGTAGTATTACGCGCCAGTGGAGCGCTGCTGGGTTTCTGTCGGCTGGATTGAGTGGTCGCTCGACCACACAAAAAAAAACGCCCAATCCATCAAACGTATGGCTTCCCTTGTCGCCACGACAAAGTGAGGAATGCGAGTACGCGACAAAAGAATCTCTCCCCTCCAGCCCACCAGGAATACTGTTCAGTCCTCACATCCCACATACACATATATCTCCCTGTCTATCTGTCCCCCACCGAAACCGGCGCGCGTCGCGGTGCGTCCTCCCGAATAAATGATATTCAAAGCGGCAAAAACAGCTCCCCATCTGCATACCGCGAGCTCGGTGGCCCGTACACGACCGGGTCGACCCGAAAACAATGCTCCAGCGCGCGCCGCCGCCGCCGCCGACGCGGTGCGGCGCCGGCACACCCCCCGGCACCGACCCTGCCGTCGTCGCCGACACCGTCCAGCGTCGCCGGCGACGTCGGCAGTCGTAAATCACGTTTTATCGGGCGTAATATTCGCGGCGCCACCGGCCACCTTCCGGCAAGGGTCGCGATTCGCTCTGGTGCCCGGGCGAGCCGCCTGAAAATGAAGCCATCAGTCCATGGACACGGATGGGCGACGGCGGGGCAGCGGCTCTGTGTGCTGGTGGTGTCCCGGATTTAGGCGTAAGGTGGCTCTATGCCGGGGCGGCTTGGTGCCACGTGGTAAGGTGAGCTAGTGAAAGAGGTGGCTATTTAGTGATTCAGTATCCTATACCCTAGCATTCCATTGTGATCTATGTGCCTGGGAATCGGGCATTAAATCGGCAGTTGGGCATGTGAAATATAAAAACAAATACTAAAAAATAAAGACGACAAAACATATTTTCCAGCCAGCATCGGTATATCGTCTCTGCTTTCCAGTTCCTTCTGCAGCCAAAGCTGCAATTGAGCCCAATGCACCCCACACCACACAGGAAACCGAAGGGTGCACACAGTCCTCTCCAATACGGGAAGCAGGCGTGAGCCGACTGCAGTTATATGGCCACAGCCAATGACGGCGGAAACACTGCCCCCCGCACGCGGCACGCTCCGCTGGGGGCGGCGGCGGCGGCGGCGCGGCGTCACTACAGGCAGCACGTGTCGGTTTATTGACGTCCGGTCGTATAGTGGACGTGGTGACCGGTGGTGATGGTTGGCTGGCGTCTGTCGTACCCTGACCGCTGCCGGGCACGGAACAGCTGCGACCCCTGCCCTCAGCGTGTGCCTTCAGCACCGCAACAGGAACTGAAGGGGGCATTGATGGTGGTCTGTGCAAATTTCCTATACATATAGTCGCAGTCGGTTTGTTTCTTTCAGGCAAGCATGCCCCCTCGCAGATACATATGTAATCAGGTCAATCATTCCTCAATAATTGTTAAACTCCATCTTTTTATGTTTGTTTTTAACCATCTTGGCATCCTTATTGTTTCCCTATCACACCCGTTTATTTGTATCTCCAGTTCAAAACATCGTTCGTTAGAATGGTAGAAACACATCTCCCCTAACAGCACGTGTCAAACGTACCCAGCAATTTCTCTAAGGACCGACAGAGATGCCGCCGGCCGCACATATCACCTCTCGATGGCGGTACGCTAATGGTGTCGTAAATTGACAGATGCCATTCCGACCCAGTCTCAGTGGCCCCGGGGGTTGCACTCCCGCCCACCCGCCATCGAACACCATCGAATGGCGTCGACCGCCCCGCAGTGTGCCGTCCGTCCACGCTTCACGGTCCGCGAGCGACGATATTATTGTTCTCTGTCTCCCCAGTCGATCGATTAGCAGTTATAACGGCAGAAGGCCATTTAAACGTCGCAGCCAGAGACGCATGTGCGCCAACTCCCCCCGACTGCTGACAGCCCGACGTGCAGTGTGTTTGAGTGTTAACGCGGCGACAAAATATTCAGACGCCCGCGGAAATTAGATAGGAAAACGAGCAGGGTGAATAAAGGACAAAGGGACACTAAAGAGGAAATAAAAATGACATAGAAACGGAACGAAAGAAAGCAACTGGAAAAGTGGTCGCATATGGTGACAAAGAAAGGGAGATGCTATAAAACAAAAGCGGGACGGAGAGGTGAGAACTAGCGCGGGTAGGGGAGGGATGAAATAAGAGAGCGGCTGAACTATAGGGGAGAGCCGGAGGGCCTGGGAGGAGGACTCGTCATCGTGTGACTCTGACCGCGCCAGAGTGTGTCTGTGTTTACAGAAGACTGAGCCTTTCCGAGAGTCGCCAGCCGCCATCAGCGAACACTCCGCCAGTCCACTCACTTAACGACAAAATAACAATTTTATGTCTCCTCAAAGTCGTCCCCCATCCGGCTTTACGGCCCCTCGCCCCTCCAAAAGGCCGTAAATAAAAATTAGCAGGGCAGACACAGCCAGGGTATAGAATAACACATTGTGAGGAACATTGTGCAGTTTTGAACATTTTTCGTCGGTTTGACAGCTTGATAAGAAAACTTAATCGGGGTTAGAGCTTAATGAACGTTCTCCGAGCGTTAATGTGACATGAATTGGATGATGGAATATACAACCGGAAAAGTTTTAAAGAACTGCTTGAGGTGATGGAATTAATGGCATTAAGAAGTAAAATTCATATTATAGTCCGTCGTAAACTGCAGAGCTAAGAACATGTGACGTTAGAGACGTGGCACAGTACCTAAGTTATAACAGGCGTATAAAGAACCAATTTCGGCTCAGAACCTCAGCCGCAAAAAAGCATTGGTAGCTCATGAATAAAAGGCGTCTAAGATCCATACGACGAATGAAAATAATTATTTGTGACAGAAGAAATATTTAAGAAAACATTTCAATTTTCTGAGAGTAAATTGAATTGGAGCATTCGTGAGATGTCGCACCACGCATGTCCTACCGAACTTCCCAAAGGAAATAAAAACAATAACACAACGGCATATGAAATGTTCGTAAAATACTGCTTTACGGTTCATCATGATTCGTTGCAAATACTCCTACATGTCTTCATTTTATTGGAATTAGATCAGCACGACAGAAGCGGAGCCTGTCACTCATTACATAGACTAATCCGCGATGATAACCTATTCGCGACAGTTTATGGTCACTCATTACACCAAATTTCACCACAAATGAACTCGTCACATTTGACCACTGGCGGTCGCAGGGGGGGGGGGGCCACGGGGGCCATGGCCCCCCCTTTGGTGCTGAAAGGTGGGGCCATACTATCTTTTGGCCCCACCTTTCAGATCGAACAAAAGTCCTAGAAAAGCTTTTCGTATGTTTCATTTTCTTTCTTGCGCCATCAAAGGACGTAAATTTCACTCATGAGTGGGCTCAGTTTCGCATTCTGTCAATTTGGCGGTCAGCGTCGCTGGCACCGGTTCACGAGTATGGCCGGATCTTATATGGAATATCAGCGTGGGTTTACTTGAGG